CCCCCCCCCCCAATGGCACCCAGGCGAGCCATGCTAAGCGCGCAAAAGCGCTCAACAAACAATGGTATAAATAAATTTAAAAAAACCAGAGACCTACAAAAGACGAAATCTGCAAGCTGGAGTTGTGTTGCTCAAATCCCAACACCCTTATGCCTATGTTGTGGCACACTGTCAGACATAGTACAAATTAAATGCGCTGAATGTCTGTGGCTAAAGTACCAGCACAACATTTTCCCTAAATGATGTATTTAAAATATACATATTCATAAATAGTGCTGTAATGTACACGAGCAAAGTTCCTTTTGGGTTACGAAACAATGCCTACAAATGATACAAATGCAAATATAATGTACAAAGATATAATCGAAACCAACATTGTCAAATACACCGGAAGTAAACATTAGACAGGGGATGTCACTAACAAAATTTAATGCCGAAATTGATCACTAGAGATAGAAGCGCCTACTGGACTAAGTATTTAATGCTCAAAGTTCAAGAATAATTTGAAGATTATTGAGAACTGAGGTACCTATGAGAAAGGTTTAGAAAATTGTTACAGTAGAGACTGAGATGTAAATTGTAATTTCGTTTGACGGCTTAGAAGATAGCACAATTATTAATGAATAATTAGTGACAGATTAATGAGATTATCAGTATTAGTATTAGTATTTTTATAATAGTATTATAATTATATTTATTACCATATACCGGTATTTATGAATTATTAGTTAGTGAATTTAGTGTCATTTTTATTTTTAGTAGTCATTACTTTACTGACTAGACTGGAGTTATAAGACTTTAGACTTCGCATTTAATTTAGTCTCCAGCTCCGAAACTCTAAAATTAGTAAAAGCCAAAAGTAAAAATATATTACTAAAATATTAAAATTTGACTTTACTCTTGCCATGCCATTCATAATATTAATTAATTAATAGATCATACTACCTTTTTGGTGGCCTAAAAATAGTAAACACAACCATTTAACTTTTGACTCTGTAGTGGCTCTTTACTCACTTACACATGGTGTAACTAGCAAAACCCTAAACCTAGGCCATTGAATGACCCATTGGCATGGTCTTGAGCTATGGATGGCTATTAGATATGATCCTATTTCACTGTGTGGTCTTGTGGTATCATAAACTCTAGGGTGATAATAATATTTTATGATAAATTCCAAGGCTAGGATACTGTTTTACTAGGCCAAATAAACTTAACCTATATGAACTATATCTTTTTCATCTTAATTAAAAATTTATTTTATAATTTAAATTTAATTATTACGTTCAATAGTAACAGTAGTATTTTAATAAAATATTTTAAAGCATTTTAACTACACATTATGTATAACTAAGTATTTAACTTGAACAAGATGTGCTGGCCTTAAAACTCATAATAATAAGCCATCAAAATGCATTAAGATAAGCCATTCCTACCACTCAATTAGTCTAATGGTACCCGGCTGCGAATTGCGGTTCTGCATGTCTGGATCCATTAAAAAGTCAAGAAATCCATTATGTGGTAGAAATGTATCCCAAATTTGTTACACGATTAGACATTGCCAAACAAAGAGGCATCCATGAAACCAACCAAAATAAACCTATCAATAAAGAATTATTTGTCAACAAGTTTGCCATGTTCTGTCACTCAATAAACAATAAAGATTTACTACACATCATGCTCTTTACCATGTAACATAAAATAGATAAGTTATTGATTTATTACATTGCTTACTTCAGCATGGGTGATAAACTTGAGAAAATGAAAATACATGAGACTACTGTAAGACATCGCGTGGAATGTGAGGAGAGGGCCTTTCACATTGTAAACAAACTCATTGATGGCAGTATTGATGAAGAATATCTCATTCATTGTGTATGTATATGTTTATTACAAAATCTTTTTAATGTTTTCCAAAAAAGATTTGACTTAATTCAAAACAAATTGCAGTTGTGATTATCTTGAAAACTACACACAAATGGTCTGTGATGCTAAATGTCATTTTTAAAAATTAAATTGTCAAGTAAAAATTAAATTTTATGGATAAGCTAGAAGCATTCAGGTATATTTTAAATATAACTCATGACATTTCATAACTTGATCTTAACTTTACAGGGAAGGCTTATCAGCAGAGAACACTACAGCGATATCATAGATGAGAGGGCCATAACTCTTTTATGTGGCTATCCACTTTGTGGAAATTCCCTTGAAAATGTAAGTTTCCACATTCTCATTATAGACCTAACCTCTAAATTAAAAACCTCTACTCTATTTAACCTTTTACATTTGTCAGCATGATGAGATAAAATCCTGTAAACTTGAAAATAGAGACAGGTATTTTTAGTTTTTCACTAAAATTTATGATAATTAAATTTTTATATTTCAGATTCCTAAAAAGAAATACCACATATCTACAAGGACCAATAAAGTTTATGACATTTCTGAAAGAAAGGTTGGCATCACTCACTGTTAACATCATCATTTTTTTTTTAATGCTTTTGTTCTTGATAGCAAGTTGAATGACATTTTTAAAGAAATATTTTTGTTAATAAACTATTTATTAGATCTATATTGATAGCTATTAGACGTGTTCGGGAAATAATGACTGTGTTGTTATTTTTATCTTCTCTTTCAGAATTTTTGCAGCAATCAGTGTCTTAAGGCTTCCAAACATTTTCATACTCAAATTCCTGAATCCCCATTGTGGTCAAGGGAGAGAGAGTTGGATACTGAAATTGTTCTCCTTCCAAATAAAAATATCAAGTAACATATTGTTATTCTTGTTTTTTTTTTACTTAGCTTACAGTTTTTTAAAATAAATTATTTAAAAATGCAATACAATAACTATCTCAATTAATGAATGTAAAATTTTAAGTTTTTTAAACATAATTTAAATGAAATTCAAAAAAAAAATTTTTAATCCTATTTCTTTATAATTATTTTTGCACTGGTCTCATCAATCTTTATAATTCTTTTTTTGCACTGGTCTCATCAATACAGAGGGATTTTAGGGGATGAAGTTGTTGGAGAATCCCCAAAAAAACTACTCAAAGAGGAACTATTGAGACTTGAGGAGCTGGATAAAAGGTTATCTCCTTCAAACAAAGAATCTCCTGAAATACGCCTGAGAGGGAGGACGCTGGGTGAAACACCAAAACAGAAACTCAGTGAAAAAGTAAAAACTGGAAAAGACACTGATAAGTTGCCCTGTGACGGGTGTATAACAAATGTCATCTGTGATCAGGCTGATGCCAACCGCACAGACATCCTGGCATGTGAGATTAAAAATCTAACAATCTCTGACGGTGAAAATGGTACAATGCAGAATGAGGCTCTCAATGAGAAGATGGTCACCAACTCTGTTTTGAAACTAAAGGGTTCCGAAAGTTTAAACCTAGTCAGGGAGTCAGAAACATGTCAAAAGAACAGAATAACAGAGAGTCCTGTAAGTGGGGATGACGAAACTAAAACAAGTCACGGGAATGTTACGGATAGACAAGGGAGCTCAGTGTCTCAGTCCGAGGGATCCAAAATGGATCAGCTTATGAAACTTTTAGCTAAAAAGAAAAGTGTTTTATCGGCTATGGTGGATGTCCAGCCTTTGATTCCAACAAAACCATTGAGGCCATTATTACAGGGAACCAACCCCATTTCTTTACAGTGTCCAAATGTACAATCTTCATCAACAGTAGATGCATCTGGACAAGAAAACCAAGGTGAGGCCATTAAAATCCCATTGGCAACTTCCGACGTTATGGTAACTGAAAGTGGATCAAGTGAAAAACCAGTAAAAAGTAGTAACTTTTCTAATGGCGGAACAAAAAATTTAATTTTCTCACCTTTACAGCGTATATGCCCGGTCTTGAAATCGTGGGTTTCAGAGGATACGTATATGTATATTTTCTCAAAGTTTGAAAGCAAGGAAACTCCAATGAGCTTCTCGGATCCCAAGATCAAAATGGGCTATGCAGATTTATGTAAACGTCTAGACATGCAGCAAAAAGATTATGAAAATATTGTTGGTGAATTGGATGGGGCGACCAGAGCAGAAGAAACCAAGGGAAAGAACCTTAAGGCAACACCTGATTATGAGGCCCTGAAAAAAGAGGCTGAAGCTTTTCAGCTAAAGGTGACGGAATTTCTGACTGGGAAGAGACCCCAGGATAAAGGTGCCCCTGATAAAGTGAGTTCATATTTACAATCATTTTATTTTATATATTTGTAATCCTCTATACTAGACATTCTATCAAGTATCAGACAATGTATACTGGTATGCATTTTTATCACTTAAAAAAAAAATTAAGTTAAAGTACAGTGGAACCTCTCATAACGAGCACCTCTCATAACGAGTAATTCGCATAATGAGAAAAAAAAATGTGAAGAAGTTGCTCCCTTAACGAGCGATATTTCGCATTGCCAGTTACGCAGAAAGGGGAAGTCCCTTTTTCCTGACATTCATTTGTGAGCCGGGACTTCCGGTCTGTTAGTGTATTGTTTTCATGTGTGATCACCAGTTTTACAAATTTTTTATGCAGACAGTATTCGTAATTTTTTTCTGTGCAAAGTGTAATAACCTGTGCTAAAATGTCTTCGAAGAGAAAAACCACAAGAAGACAATCATAAGAGAGAAAAAATAACTGTTGAAATGAAACGTAAAATCATTGAAAAGCGAGAACAAGGTGTGAGCGTGGCTAATCTAGCGCGCACATACAATCGGTCAACATCAACGATCTGCACTATTCTGAAGAACAAAAACAAAATTAAGGAGATGGATGCTTCAAAGGGAAACTGTTGCATCGTACATTGAGAAGCATCTCCCTAATAAGGAGTTGGCTATTCGTGCTACAAATTTATTCAATGGTAATGCTGTGACACATTTTTGTCTAATTTTGAAGCGTCGGCAAAAACAAATGTCTTTAGACAGTTTTCTAGTTAAAAAGGATTAATTAATTGTCATAAATTCATATTTTTATTTACGTTTTTTGTTTCAAATCTAAATTGTATTCCAAGTTGTTACACTCCTTAACAATTCATAAGTAATTTTATTTGAATAAATGTTAATAAAAAATTTTGAAAAATTTGTATTTTTTCAGCATGGAATGCCTTATCATATTTTACATTGATTTGTATGGGAAAAATTGTTTCGTTTAACGAGTGTTTCGCCTACGAGTAAGAGTCTGGAAATAATTAAACTCGTTATGAGAGGTTCCACTGTAATTCCTATTGCCTATATGCCCACAGCACCTTCTGGCTTTTATTCAATGTGCTGTTTACTAGACATTTGTTTTCAATATGATGTACCATATTAGAGTATGTGTACATTGAAGGGTGGGAATCAAAGTTATTTAACCTCAACTAAAAATGAATCTGCTGAATGAGAAACAATATATTTTAGTATGTTTAACATAGAGAAGTGCTGTGATTTGAAAATGTTCAGGAAGAGAAATAAGGTATATCAAACTCTCAATAAAAGGGTTTGTGCACATTTATTACCAAAAAAAATTAAATATTTTATCACCAAAGCAATTTTAGTATAGAAACATCAGTATTTCATGAAAGCTACAAGTTTAGCCAGTCTCAAAATTTACCTTGGGGAAAGTTATAAACGAAAAATTTGAGCTTTAGGGATTTCAGTTTTAACAAATTAAACTTGCAGAAAAAAATAACCAAATATTTATATATTATTATTGTTATTGATTGTTGCCATTATAAGACCATTCCAAAATCCTTATCTACTAGTAATGCGTTAGGACTTTTACCACAGGAGCTATTTTGTTGTTGCTCACAAAGATTATCTTGCTCATCTCCCTTGAACTAACTGCTATTGTTATTATTTTCTATAATATAAATTTAGAATGCTTAATTATTTTCACAAGTTGCTTTCAGTGACCAATACAAATCATAGTTTATCCTTACAGAAAACAGTGCTATTTCTGTTTATGTCCAGAATAAACCTACATAGAGAATATTGTTTAGCATAATTAAATTGTATTACCGACGAATTTTTTAAAATAAATTAGTAGGTTAAAATGTAGACTCCACTCACCTCAAGTAGATATTTCATTTGAAATACAGTTTAAAAAAGTGATTACCTTGGTAACTTTTGAATCATAACAATTCAATGAAACATACCTAGTGCAGTCAACCCTTAGTTAACTTTTCACTGCATGATGTTTATAGGCTAAATTTGACTCTCATACCATTACTAATATACAGCAGGTAACAGAAGATGATGATGCTGACCATATCATTCTTCCATCTGTTGATGCATACAATCAGCAGCAAATAAGAATGAAAATTGTCCTTTATCAGCTGGATAAGTCGTAAGTTTTACCATTCACTTTACATTATAGGAAAATTTACTTCAAACTAATGTAAAAGGCATATCCTACAGATCGGTGATCTTCATTATAAAACATCTGCATATTCTTGCCATTAAATTAAAGTTATTAATTAAATCTACATCAGAAAATAGCTTCATTGACCCATCCTGCATCATATATCATTGTGCTATATAAAAAAAAAAAAAAAAAAAAGAGTGACTCAAAGAAATACACAAATATTTCTTATTTTAAAATTATTTTCTATTTAAAATTAAATCTACATCAGAAAATAGCTTCATTGACCCATCCTGCATCATATATCATTGTGCTATATAAAAAAAAAAAAAAAAAAAGAGGGACTCAAAGAAGTACACAAATATTCCTTAGTTCAAAATTATTGCCAATTTACAATACAAATCCCCTTTTTTAAAAAAAAAAATGCCTTGATTTATTTATGCATTACTAATGTTGGGTTTATCTTTAAAAATGTGTCCAGACTGCCAAATCTCTTAACTCCCTTGGCATTATCAGTTCAAGATGTGTCTACCTTGATCAGAGAACTTGTTTTTACTTTTCGGTTAGTATTTCTCTTTGAATGTTTCTTTCTTTCTTCTTGTATTAAGTAAATTCAGTCATTAAAACTGTTTCAGCTTCTGTCTTATTGAAGTGAGATGTGCAAACTTATATCATAGGTTTTGATTCAATATAAAGAATTACAACTGTTTGAACTATACTCAGTTAAATGGCCACCACCTCATTTGTTTTTATTTATTTTTCTATTAAAAAAAAAAAATGGTTCAACATCTGTATTCCTTAGTTTTTTTATCATTAAGTTTATTCAATTTCTCTTTTGAAGCAGACGTAAAATAATCTTAGTTTTATTTTTACGTGTTAATAATTTTTAAGTTGATTTTTTAAGAAAAGTTTAAAATTTCTTTATGATTAAATCCCAACCAAAATATCTGTTATTGTTATATATATATGTTATTGTTAAATTTTGTAATTCTTTTTTAGGCTCCAGAAGGACAATATTTTATTTAAACCCTCAGAGTGGATGATTGTTGCTATCTTTATTCTTAAAATGTAAGTATTTTAATAATTAATTGTGGGTGACTTGAACCAGTGTTTATTTTATTAGTGAAAGGTGTTTTAATTTAATTGTGTTTAAAATATTGTCCTCTAAATTACTCATATTTCAAAATATTTATTAAGGGACCATCCAAATAGTAATTACGCAAGGGGGGGGGGGGGGGGGGGGGATGGTGTCAATTTTGGAGATTTTGCAATGGCTTGCATCTGGCCAGAGGGGAGGGGGTCTTGGCAGAAAGTATGTATATTTATTTATAAAAAAATAATTCTGCTCCCCCAGCGGTTACTAAATCTAAATGATCACTAATTAAGTCCTTATCGTCACCAAGGGAGTTCATTGATGGCTGATTTCTACGCTAGAGAAATACTTTAGATGTCTTGTGTTTAAATTGTTATAATTTTAAAATGTTGTTTTGCCTAAAATATGTAAGTATTTATGTGTTGAAAATGAATTTGAACATGGCGATGAGAAAACAACTTCTTTTTATTTGATCAATGAAAGAATCTTAACTTAATTACCCTGAAAATTCTGACAGTCCATAAATAGCACATCTCTAATTCTTTAAAAATATCAGGCAATGTTTTGTAATTTTCGTCTTGTGTGAACAATTTTTTGCATATGTACTATAGTGATAGCCCTTAATATTACATTTTTTTTATTAGTAATCCAAATTTTTGCTTTTGGTGCAATTATGTCCAATTGAAAAATATTTTAAGTCGTTTTATTTTTAATGCCATTATTGTTAATATCGCGTTCACACTTTGTTTCCTTCAGGTTGTCTCGCAAAAGCAGGCCTATTGCTATGGCCTTTCATGATGAATCGGCCACCAAATTTTTCAGTATCCTCTTAAAAGGCATTGGACATACAACGGAGGACCTTGAAAAACTGACAGATGAAATACTTGAGTCTTGCCATGTTCAATTATAATAAATATTATGCTACTCCGTTTATTGTGAATCAGAGCAGCATATAAAATAAACTGTTATAAATACAGTCTTTGGATTTATTTATTAGTGTTCATTTCATCTGTGCATGGTTTGTGTAATGTCAAGATCAATTATGTAGTGGGCTGCCAATGATATAGTAATTCCAGTTATATACTTCCATGCATCTTGTTTTTTGTTTTGTTAAAGAACTTAAGGCTCATAACAACAATAATTTGGCTTTCAAACACAGTGATAGAAGAACACTATAAAAATAGATTTTAAATATTGGACAAAGAAACCGTATTCATAAAAATGTTTCCAAAAACCTTCAAGAGATAGATTTTGCGGGGATACATATATTTTTTTCTTGATCTCTGGCACTGACAACCAAAAACATCATTTCAACGATCGAGCTTTAACACGCGCTTTAACAGGGTCTTAGCTGGAGTTAGTGGTCCTTGAGATTTCAGCTCCTCCCTCACCAAAAAAGCAGATCTGAAGGGAAATAACCCCTGCAGATGGTTTACAAGATGTATTTTTAATGATATGACATGTCAAGTCAAGGCATTAGAAAGCCACTGAGGTAGTTATATTAACTTTGATCATGGAAGTAATCAAAGAAAATAAATACCTAAATTTGAATGATAAATGCCAGCTTCACCCCACAAATGGAGAAGTAAGCAACTTAGGTGCTGGGTGGCCGAGCGGTCTAAATTTACTCAATCCCCATCAAAGACAAGCCATAAAGCACCCCGGGACTTGATAGCCTTGGACGGCAACTCATCTGAGAGGAGGCAAGCTCTTAATTCAAACCAGGAGCTACAATGATCAATAAATTGATCTTGGGACCTCAAATATATAGGAGAAAAAAAACTGGGTCACTTGAAATTAACTGGGAAGAATCGTAAGAACTAAGCGTTCGAAAAAAAAGATTTAAGGGAAAGTTTCTTTTACCAAATCGCACCACCTATTAATAAGCATAATATTTGATGACAAGAATGGTGTTATTTCTGTTTGTTTGCATGATCTCTACACCCATGCATGCTCTTGGAGTATGTTACTTTGAACACCGGACATGATGTCAGCAAGGTCTGAAAGGCCCCTGCTCAGGGCAAAGCGGGTCAGCTACTTGGAGTATTTCAAGGCAGTGGATAAGTTGATAGGTGGTTCTTCATCTCGCTCAGTGTCACTGAGCTGGTTATCTACTTGGAAAGAAGAAGCCTGACTGTCGCTTGTAAAAATGACACAGTTGGTCTGGATATTATCAACATGAGGCAAACTCGTGAAAGGTACACCCATCAAGCATTCTATCCATGGCTCCCTCCAGTGTGACATATTCTGCAGGCCCTTTATCATACTGGATGGCAGCTTCAGTTTTAACACCCTGCACCACAGTTGAAGAAGACAAGTTACCATACAAATCTACAGTTAAAATCTGAGATAAACTCTGATCTTAAAATACAACAGAAAAAAACTGATCTAAAAATAAAACGGAAAAAACACTTGATTTAAAAATGAAGCCAAAAAAATATCTCTCTCTTTCTGTCTCTCTCTCTCTCTCTCTCATACAAAAATAAAATGTACACAGTGCCTTCCTGCTGCAAAAATCCACACTTGAGAAAACACTGGGTGACTGACTGGGGCTTGAGTGTCCTCCAGTCTTTCTTTAGCCATCCTGCAGCCTCAAGAAGGTCTTGGCTAGTTTAGGTCCAGTAGCTGTTTCGTCTCCTTCCAGTTCAATCAGAAAGTTTCTCAAAAAAAAAAAAAAAAAAAAAAAAACTTTATCCTGCAGCCTCAAGAAGGTCTTGGCTAGTTTAGTCCCAGTAGCTTTTTCCTCTCCTTCCAGTTCAATCAAAAAGTTTCTCAAAAAAAAAAAAAAAAAAAAAACCACTTTCCGTACAGCATCTTAATGGTTTGGATGTGCTAGGGCGTAAAATTGAATTATTTGATGGTCGCAAGTCGCGTTTTAGAGGAAGTCGTTTAAGAGAGGTCGTTTATACAATAAAAAGCTCGGTGGATTTATTTTTTTGGTCGTATGTTGGAGGAAGTTGTTGAAGAGAGGGTCTCACAATGGAGTTTTTACTGTATTGATGTGCGTGCTTGAACATTTTCTGTCATTTTAAATCTCTAGATGTGCCCAAGACATGTACACAGCCATTGTACAAGATGTGCACACAACCAACCACTGTACAAAACATGCACACAGCCACTATTCAAGATGTGTTCACAGCCACTATTCAAGATGTGTTCACAGCCACTGTACAAGATAACATGCACACATCCATTGTACAAGACGTGCACATAGCCACTGTACAAGATGTGCACACAGCCTGTGTACAAGATGTGCACACAGTCACTGTACAACATGTGTTCATATTTATTGTACAAGATGTGCACAGAACCAGTGTACAAGATGTGCACACAGCCACTGTACAAGATGTGCACACATCCACTGCACAATATTTGCACATAGCCACTGTAAAACATGTGCTCATAGTTATTGGACAAGTTGTGCACAGAGCCAGTGTACAATATGTGCACATAGTTACTGTACCAGATGTGCACACAGCCAGTGTACAAGATGTGCACAATGCCACTGTGCAAGACAAGTACACAGCCATTGTACAAGACATGCACACGTTCATATAATTTCGATCAAGTTCTAACTACCGGGTACATAAGCTCCATATGAAAACAGTCGCCTGGGCGACAGATAGGAATCGGCTAGACTCGATTAAAATTTATTATGCTTTGCTGACATTCTTTCATTGTGATTTGTTATCTGAATGTTGATTAGTATCTCTTTGGCTGAGTGAAGTTTTACACTTCAGTTCATATGAAGAAAAATTATAGAGGGGGGGGGGGGCCAAATGTTTTTTAAAAACTATTTCATTTGTAAATTTAAGACTCCTCTTAAAGGAGGCCTTCCAAAAAAATTACGCCAAGACAATATTATCAGATTACTTTGGCTGAGTGAAGTTTTACACTTCAGTTCATATGAAGAAAAATTATAGAGGGGGGGGGGGGGCCAAATGTCTTTTAAAAACTATTTCATTTGTAAATTTCAGACTCCTCTTAAAGGAGGCCTTCCAAAAAAATTACGCCAAGACCATATTATCAGATTTAATTTATTTCATTTTTAAAAGGAAATTTAAAAAAAAAATAGACAGCGAATTACATCCTTGTTTAAACATAATTGTTAATGCGAGAATTGCAACATTCGGTCAGGTTTATTTATTATTATAGACCTTTTGAATTCTCAAATTTTAATAATAACCAATTCTAAATAAGGTAACCAACAACCCACAAAAGTTTACATTTCGGTGGGGGGAAAAAATCGTTTTACACAAAGAATGAGTACAATAATAGACTCATTGAATTTGGTTTATAAGAAGTCAATCAAATAATATAGATTGAATTTAAAAAATAAAATTTTTAAAAAAAATGCAGATCGTTCTCAAATAATTTAAATACAAATTTCCCTCTACCGTCCCGAAATAGCACGATTAGTCACCGTCAAGATTGGCTCATTAAATATATAACGAAGATTTATGCGGATTGATTAATTAATTTTTGTTATACATTAGTTTATAAAAATTCCGCCAAAAATGTATAATCACGTCAGAAAAGAAAATCGTGTATGGCACATTTGGCTGTACATGCAAGATAGGTCACCACAGCCCGCCAGTCACCGAGAACACATGCGGATCCCCTGGTGCCAAGCTGTATTCTTCATTTATGTTCCATTGGGTTCATCGGGTGCACGCAGAAGGGGGTTCTGCTGATGGGGAATCAACTAATTCACTATAAAAATATCAACCCCCCCTCCCCCCTTTTGGGAATTGTGATTTCGCAACAAATAGTGAAAAGTACACCATTGTATCCTTGAGAAGAAATGATGCCTAATACGCAGATACGATGTGGATTACACTGTTCATGGTCACCTTATATAATTATAACGGTATAAACCCCTTAAAATTTCATAAAGGGGCCCACGCTTTATAAAAACAGGAGCTACGCACCCGTGCTTTATTGGACTAGAAAAGAGTGCGTCTAAGAAGTGCGCACGGAAGCATTTATAGAAAGACATGTTCGCTTTCTGATCCTGGCCATAAATCTTCTCATTGGTTATTAAATGTATCGCAGCATGTTTGCAACTTCCAAAGTTGGTGTATATATAGCGTGTTTTAAAAGCTACATTTTGCAATTTTTTTTATATTTGTCTAATGGACAGCAGAATCTATAATAAAGAATAAAGGAAGATCACAAAGTGTCGAATAAGCACATAAAAATGAAAAAGATCCGAAACCACAAGGATCTTTAAAAAAAAAATTATTTGGAAAAAGAAAAAACAACAACTTTGAACTGGATGTCATGAGCTTAAAATCTTTAAATAAAAACCAATAATGGTTGTAAAATTAAGTCAATCAAGATTGATTTCAAAAATTGCAACCCTTTTTCAGATATTTTTTGAAATTATTGTTTGAAATTATTTTTTTTAATTTCGGGGATGGGGGGGGGGGGGGGGGGGGGGGGAGATTACATTGAAAACAGTAGATTTTATACTTTTGTTTCTAGCCCAGCTAAAATATTTTAAGTTTGGAAATACATTGGGTTTTTCCGAAGAATGCCATATATTTACAAAGTGTGGTTTGAGCCCATCTAGAGGTCACATATAAATAGAGATATATTTTCCTTAATAATATTCATTCTTGGCTATTTGTTCCACAGTTCACAATCCCCACTTGAGTATTTGAATTTAAATTTAACGAAGAAAGCTTTTTAATCATGAGGCGGTGTTGGATAGTGTTAAATGCTGATGAAAAGTCTAAGAAAAGCGCTCCAGCACATTTTTTCAGAGCTGCATGGGTGATTGTAATGCCTTTTTATAAATAGTAGTATGAGATGCACGGGAGCTCTCGCAGATTTACAAGCCAATTGGTTCCAGTAAGGTTTGGATTTGTAATTCATCCAAAATTTGAATAGTGTCTTTTCTAATGTAATCTTCAGAAAGAGACAAAATACATTGCAAATGTCGACAAGAACTTCGGAACCAATCATATGTTATTCTTTATTTTGACCCTACAGTGTAGGGCTTGAAAAATAGTCTTTTAGACTCATTAATTTGCTCCTCTCCACGGAAATCTTTAGTAAAAGGCGAAAGATTTAATCGTTGTGAAGAGAAACCAGAGTAATGTCAAACGGCTGTGCCTGGTCCCCCACTCTTATTCAATTGACATTAACATTTGGTTGTCAATTTTTAGCATACGGCACTGATATTATTATTGTTTTAATACAGATTTGACACACAATTTCACTTTAGCAAGTATATTTAGTTGAAGAAACAAAATTTAATCTTTAATAGTGTCGAGCTTTAATTGTAGTCGGAGTAGCTTTGGTTTCGTCTCCAATTTATTATGAACGATTCAGCTCTATAAAGTTATTTCCCTTTAACCTCACAACTCGGATACCTATTTCCGTGCGAACAAGAAATTTGGATCTGCCGTTTGAGTTGAGTGATAAAAAAGGTAATTACACTATGTAGCTTGCGTTTTTTATATAGTGAAATCAACTGCGTCCAGAGAAATGGCGATAGTTTCTTTGGGTTTATTTCTTTAAAAATTAGCTTTCTAATCACACTAATTCATTTTCCCAGTTGGTACAAATTTTATTGGTTTTTTCTGTTTTATTTTAAACTTCTCGCACTTCTCAAAAATAATATATATCAGCGCACAACTGGAGTATTTTTTAACATTTAAAAAAAATATTTTATTTTCGAAAAAAATATAATTAATTTCCATTAAACAATAGGAGGAAACGGAAATTAATTCGATTGCATTTGATAAAAAAGAATGTAATTCAAACGGAAGTTTTTTTAGCCAGATTTGTGTTGCAATCGAATTTTTCATTTTATATATAAATTTTCGTTTACTGTCAATTTAAAAAAAAAAATGCAATGATTAGCAAAACTGATCGAAAGTATGATTTGTTTTTTGTTTTTTAAAATCTACTTAACAGTTGTTGCAATTATTTAGGCAGTGAACGAATAATTACATAAATATACTATAATTTATTTGAAAAAAAATAAAACAAGAAATTTCCGTTCAAATGAATTTCAACTGGAACTAACTTTTTCTTGTTGATGTCGCCTGGGCTCTAGATAGCTTTTGCTATCTATTGTATACAGTACGTAAGTGAGAACACAACATTGTGGCGTGCGGCACACATAGTTTCTCTAGTTAAGGTTATTTGACCGTTAACTCTGTCATTGTTGGCTATTTGTTTCAAAGTTCACAATCCACGCTTGAGTATATATCCGGCATCCTTCCGTCTCGTGAGACGATGGTACATCACCGTTGGTTTGGGTTGCATTTTCTCGAGTGGCTGTGCAGTCCTATCCTTGAGTGACAGTCTTTACCACAGTTTTTACACACGAGTTCCGTGCTTCCAAATGTTTTGGCCTTTCTCCTAGCTCTTCTGTCAGCAGCCTCTTCCATTCTTCGTTCCTCTGCTACCATGACGCCCTCTTTGACAACTGTGCGCCACGTAGATCGGTATTTGAATTTAAATTTAACGAAGAAAGCTTTTTAATCATAAGGCGGTGTTGGATAGTGTTAAATGCTGATGAAAAGTCTAAGAAAAGCACGGTAGTTCTCGCAGATTTACAAGCCAATTGGTTCCAGTAAGGTTTTGATTTGTAATTCATCCAAAATTTGAATCGTGTCCTTTCTAATGTAATCTTCAGAAAGAGACAAAATACATTGCAAATGTCGACAAGAACTTCGGAACCAATCATATGTTATTCTTTATTTTGACCCTACAGTGTAGGGCTTGAAAAATAGTCTTTTAGACTCATTAATTTGCTCCTCTCCACGGAAATCTTTAGTAAAAGGCGAAAGATTTAATCGTTGTGAAGAGAAACCAGAGTAATGTCAAACGGCTGTGCCTGGTCCCCCACTCTTATTCAATTGACATTAACATTTGGTTGTCAATTTTTAGCATACGGCACTGATATTATTATTGTTTTAATACAGATTTGACACACAATTTCACTTTAGCAAGTATATTTAGTTGAAGAAACAAAATTTAATCTTTAATAGTGTCGAGCTTTAATTGTAGTCGGAGTAGCTTTGGTTTCGTCTCCAATTTATTATGAACGATTCAGCTCTATAAAGTTATTTCCCTTTAACCTCACAACTCGGATACCTATTTCCGTGCGAACAAGAAATTTGGATCTGCCGTTTGAGTTGAGTGATAAAAAAGGTAATTACACTATGTAGCTTGCGTTTTTTATATAGTGAAATCAACTGCGTCCAGAGAAATGGCGATAGTTTCTTTGGGTTTATTTCTTTAAAAATTAGCTTTCTAATCACACTAATTCATTTTCCCAGTTGGTACAAATTTTATTGGTTTTTTCTGTTTTATTTTAAACTTCTCGCACTTCTCAAAAATAATATATATCAGCGCACAACTGGAGTATTTTTTAACATTTAAAAAAAATATTTTATTTTCGAAAAAAATATAATTAATTTCCATTAAACAATAGGAGGAAACGGAAATTAATTCGATTGCATTTGATAAAAAAGAATGTAATTCAAACGGAAGTTTTTTTAGCCAGATTTGTGTTGCAATCGAATTTTTCATTTTATATATAAATTTTCGTTTACTGTCAATTTAAAAAAAAAAATGCAATGATTAGCAAAACTGATCGAAAGTATGATTTGTTTTTTGTTTTTTAAAATCTACTTAACAGTTGTTGCAATTATTTAGGCAGTGAACGAATAATTACATAAATATACTATAATTTATTTGAAAAAAAATAAAACAAGAAATTTCCGTTCAAATGAATTTCAACTGGAACTAACTTTTTCTTGTTGATGTCGCCTGGGCTCTAGATAGCTTTTGCTATCTATTGTATACAGTACGTAAGTGAGAACACAACATTGTGGCGTGCGGCACACATAGTTTCTCTAGTTAAGGTTATTTGACCGTTAACTCTGTCATTGTTGGCTATTTGTTTCAAAGTTCACAATCCACGCTTGAGTATTTGAATTTAAATTTAACGAAGAAAGCTTTTTAATCATAAGGCGGTGTTGGATAGTGTTAAATGCTGATGAAAAGTCTAAGAAAAGCACGGTAGTTCTCGCAGATTTACAAGCCAATTGGTTCCAGTAAGGTTTTGATTTGTAATTCATCCAAAATTTGAATCGTGTCCTTTCTAATGTAATCTTCAGAAAGAGACAAAATACATTGCAAATGTCGACAAGAACTTCGGAACCAATCATATGTTATTCTTTATTTTGACCCTACAGTGTAGGGCTTGAAAAATAGTCTTTTAGACTCATTAATTTGCTCCTCTCCACGGAAATCTTTAGTAAAAGGCGAAAGATTTAATCGTTGTGAAGAGAAACCAGAGTAATGTCAAACGGCTGTGCCTGGTCCCCCACTCTTATTCAATTGACATTAACATTTGGTTGTCAATTTTTAGCATACGGCACTGATATTATTATTGTTTTAATACAGATTTGACACACAATTTCACTTTAGCAAGTATATTTAGTTGAAGAAACAAAATTTAATCTTTAATAGTGTCGAGCTTTAATTGTAGTCGGAGTAGCTTTGGTTTCGTCTCCAATTTATTATGAACGATTCAGCTCTATAAAGTTATTTCCCTTTAACCTCACAACTCGGATACCTATTTCCGTGCGAACAAGAAATTTGGATCTGCCGTTTGAGTTGAGTGATAAAAAAGGTAATTACACTATGTAGCTTGCGTTTTTTATATAGTGAAATCAACTGCGTCCAGAGAAATGGCGATAGTTTCTTTGGGTTTATTTCTTTAAAAATTAGCTTTCTAATCACACTAATTCATTTTCCCAGTTGGTACAAATTTTATTGGTTTTTTCTGTTTTATTTTAAACTTCTCGCACTTCTCAAAAATAATATATATCAGCGCACAACTGGAGTATTTTTTAACATTTAAAAAAAATATTTTATTTTCGAAAAAAATATAATTAATTTCCATTAAACAATAGGAGGAAACGGAAATTAATTCGATTGCATTTGATAAAAAAGAATGTAATTCAAACGGAAGTTTTTTTAGCCAGATTTGTGTTGCAATCGAATTTTTCATTTTATATATAAATTTTCGTTTACTGTCAATTTAAAAAAATGCAATGATTAGCAAAACTGATCGAAAGTATGATTTGTTTTGTTTTTTTAGTGTCAATTTAAAAAAAAAATGCAATGATTAGCAAAACTGATCGAAAGTATGATTTGTTTTTATTTTTAAATCTACTTAACAGTTGTTGCAATTATTTAGGCAGTGAACGAATAATTACATAACTGTACTATAATTTATTTTGAAAAAAAATTAAAAGAAGAAATTTCCGTTCAAATGAATTTCAACTCGAACTAACTTTTTCTTGTTTTTGTCGCCTGGGCTCTGGATAGCTTTTGTATCTATTGTATACGGGACTTAAGTGAGAACACAACTTTGATTAGCTTTCTAATCACAGGTAATATTCTCATACAAATCACTCACACTAATGCATTTTTGTTTTTATAACTTACAAATTTAATTGTTCTTATTCATTATTTTACATATTTGAGTAGATGCTTCATAAAATATCTCAATAATCCTGTTTTTCCCCACTTATCTAAATAGTGGAATAATGTTTGTGCAAGTAAAGCTCTTTACTTTATTTTAGTGTTATTTATAGATGATATTGATATGTTATATTTTTTAAATTTTTAGAAACAACTGAAACTGGGACTATTACTGTTATCTTGGAAATATTATTTTTTGAAATATACTTTTTTATTTTATAGGTAAAAAGAACTAAAATATTTAATTCTGAATATTCAACATTTTGAAATTTTAAAATTATTTTCTTTTTCTTTTTAACTTTATAGACAAAGACTAAGATACGAAATTGAGGCGATGAACTATACGTTAACATTATGAACACCAACCAATCCAAAATATTGCTATGTTCACAAATAATTATTTCCCCTTACTAGGAGAACACTATGAAAGAATCGAAAGTAATAGATCTTTTCGTTAATAGTATTTATTCAATTCCTTTTTCAATGTGAGTTTAATATGGTAACTTATCAACCAAAAGGCTATTCCTGGGGAACAGGCGTTAAAACACATAAAAGATCATTATTATTATTTTTAAAAGGTTATATCAACCATGACCATAGTAATATAAAAATATATGTAGTATTAGTATTGTATACTACTGTATACTGATATGCTGTATAATATCAATTATTATAAATCTCGCTTTTAAACTATAGAAACTTATTTATTTGAATTACAATTTACCCAATTTCTTAAAACTTTTTTTAAGTCTGAAAAAAAACAACAAACTATTAAATTACTAATTCCTACTATTAAAAGCTAAGGACAAGAAAGGTTTAAAAATTAATCTTCACTAATTTACCGCCACCAAAGTTAGTGTGTGAGCCACTGTCATTAAGTCCATTTTACTGTATATTTGAATACCCAGCACTATATACTATACTCTATAATAATATCCAGCACCATCACTATCTGAAATGACTAAAACTAGCTTTACTGTATGGGTGTTAACAATTTTTAAAAAGGTTACCAAGGTATTATTAATTATAAGCCTTAGCAGCCGGTCACCAGGGATGGATTAAGAACTTCTCACATCAGATGTCAGATTTCAGATGCCCTAAGTTAAGCCGAATCACTTTAACTTTAACGATTTTGGTGCCTTTCTTCATAGAAGAATACTCAATATTCAAAAGAGAAAAGATATATTAAAAAAAAATTTAAAAACTGAACTGCTCTAAATAAAATGTTTAAATAACATTCTTTCCTACAAATTGGTTTCTAACAAATTGTTTTAAGACTAATTTCCAATCATAGGCTCATGACTCATGGTCATAGTCATAGTCATATGATATACAATCATTAAGTCTTGACATAGACGACATAGTTAACACTCACGCAGATATTTGAAAATAATAATTTTATATTGAATTGACAAGTTGTCCATAAAAATTGTGGAGATTCAGTAAATCATAGTAAATGTTTCAGTAAATTTTATGTTATTAAGTTTGCACCCCTCCCTACTTATAGCCAAAACACTCTCTTGTTTGACTTTTTTTAATGAAATAAAGCTTTAAGATACTTGTTGGCACTGAAAGTTGGTGTCCATTTTTATTTAAACACTAAACTATAGTATATCCATATGTTGTGATAATATATCTAGGTTTTACCCATGCTATATTAGTTATAATTTTAATAAGTGTAGGGCAGCAAACATCTAAATTTATGTGCAGGATTAAGATAATGTTATCCATAGATTAACAGTTTTAACAAAAATTAAGACTTCAGATTCAATGGTAATTTATAATTTCATTACTCATTACAGAAAATTTGATCATGTCTGGTACTGGATGGAATCAACACAGTTTTTCTCTTCCAGACACTCATATAGCACATCATCTTTGTGATAGGCACACCAATATTGAGTCTAGTGATGATGAAACTAATTTCATGCCAAATATGTCATTGAATATTAGAGATTACTCTATTCGAGGTGGCAGTACATTGCTTTGTACAAAAGAAAACCTGCCCAACTCTATTGGCTATGTTAACCAGGTTAGATTTTTAAATAGTTAAAGAAATATTATTTGTGAGTAATAAATTTAAAATGAAGGAAGGAAGACTATGAATAAATTTATCTTTTACAAAACTAAAAATGAGTTCAGTTTTAAATTATTTAAAAATATATTTCATTTTCTATTTCGGTTCTTCTATATTGTATGTTGTGAAATTGCAGGAACTTCAATTATTGGGATTGTCCTGTTTGCAATTTGATGGAACTAAATGCACATCAGACATTGTGTTTTTCATTAATAGTATACACGATTTGCTGACGCTCTACCACAAAACTAAAACAATTAAGGAAGACCTGGAAAACAGGTACAATTACATTTATAGTATTTTGTATTTTTCCTGCAGTATCAAAAAAATATTTATTTCTGCATCATGGGCATTCTAATAATTGATAATTTGATTTGTTTAGAGCATATTGTTATTTTAAAAATATTCTTTAACTAAGATATCCACACAGAAAAAGTAATATTATGTGGTCAAATTTTCATTTATTAGTGTCCTAAAACTGGTCAGTGCAAAGAGATAAATACTGAATTAAATAAAAAAAACAGTTTTGTGTGAGTAAAGAAAAACTTGAAAGCATATTTATTACTTGAAATCTAAAACCTTATAAACTTCTAGTCTCTTCTTTTTTCAAAAAATAGTTATTAACCATATGTTGGAATGATTTGTTTTTAGTTGTTGCTAATTAATGTGAGCTCAATAGTTATTAAAATATTCACTCAGGAACCATCGGTTGACCTGCGAAGTAGACCATCACAAGACAACTCACTTGAGGGTCAGTCGTCTTCAGGAACAGACAGATAAAGAACTTGATCAAGAAAGAGAAAAGTTTCGACAACTTAATCAGAAATACAAACAAGTGTCCAACAAATGGAAATCAGAAAAAGAAGATGTAAGACATTGTCAGTGTTTTAGTTTTTTTTCAGTGTAGCTTTTAAACTTGTCTTCATCTTTAGCTCATCCCTGGTTTTCTTCTTTCCCCACATAATTGTAATAATGGAAATTGAATTTCAATGACCTGAAGCTGTTGCATGAGAACATAATATATTATCAAGGTTTTTTAAGATCAATGTCAATTTGACAAAGACTAATTTTGCTAATAGATTTATACAATTGAAAATCCTGTCTAAAGGTGAAAAGACTGACAGCAGTGATCCACTCCAGAGATCTCCAACATAAACATGAACAGAAAAAGAAAGAGCGAGAAGTGCAGAGGTTGAAAGATCGACTCAATCAACTTTTGTCAGACAAGGCTCCAGACAGGAAAGTTGGTGAGTTTTGTGTTAACAACGTCTGCATTCTCGTACTAAACTGAGCTCTATGCATCATATTATATTTATCGGACTATTGAAATAAAAGGATTAATAAATTATTTTTTCTGATTTGCAATATAAAATAGATTGTTTTTCATGAGCTTTATAGATCATATTCATTCCTCTTGAGCTGTTTGGAGATAAAGACTTAGGAATTCCACCTCTTCGATCCGTTTTTTCTGTGGTCAAATGTCTATTCTGCAGATATTTTCCTATTCTGCAGCAGGTTTCTTAAGTCTTTTTGTTCCTGGCCAGTGAGCTTTATGGCATTCTCCCAAATAGACCAAGCCGTCTCTTCTAAAATGTTTGATGTAAGCCTATCCTATAATGGCTCATCATCAACTTTAACCTAAATAACTAAAGTAAGACAAATAGTAAATTTGATAATAAATTTTCTTACTTTGTGAATCCATTTGAAAGATTTAAATAAAATATATTTACTGTTGCAGGCATGGATCTAAGGAATGTTGTTGGTCGTAATGAAGGAAGAAGAGCTACTTGGAAATCTGGTTCTGGAAAGTATGAATTTTCTTCTTTCAATTGACTTTAAGGAACACCTCAGTAATTTATGTCTAGACCTCTTTCTTTTGTCTGGCTGTCTAATACATTCTCAATAAGTTATTTTCAAAAATTGTTCTGCTTCATGAAAAAAAAAGAAGAGTAAAATACACTTCACGAATTTTCAATTTAAAAAATACAATGTAAAACATTTATTCAAACCCAACAACTTCTAAAACATCTGGATATATTATTTAATTCCCTTGTACTTAAAATTTCTTAAGACAAGAGGAAGAAATGTATCATTTGCTGATCAACAACTATGAGGATAGGCATAGAGAACTCATGCAAGAGAATGGTGAACTAAGAGACTGCCTACTATCATTGCAAAGAGAGCTGTCAGCTCTTCTTAAACGCACTGGAGATATGTCCACCGCACCATTTATCGAAGTAAGTAATAAAAAAAATGAAAACATTTTATTATCGTTGTGTGTTTTAGTATTTTTTAATATTTTTTTTAAATTTTGGTCTGATGGCCACAAGAAATAGTAAATGATATTGATCAGGCTGTTGTTTTTTAAGCTCATTTCTCAGTTTAATAACTTTTGTTTAGAGTTGTTTTTTTTCTCCAGCATATCATTTTTTTCATTGATTTAATCAATAATAACTTGAGCTAAGGATTAATGTTTCGATAGAGGGAGCTGTGAAATTGTTCTAAACTTCTTGTGCTGTACTGGGCTGTAAACTCTTGTATTGTTTCATGTTGGCCTAGTCTCTAACATAGGTTATACCAGTAAGGTAATATAATGGACTATGAACGGAACTAGAAATTTTTGTTATGCAGGTTTTCACCAAATAAGCTTTAAATGTGATGAAACGATGACCAATGAATGGCTGAGAAACCTTTCCATATTTTTGTAGTTGTTATATATATGGCCTAGTAAAGCGTAGGGTTTGGCTTATTTTTCACTTCAACATGCTATTTATAGCCACCACAACTTGTCTGCTAGTATGACCTTGATATTGATGTCACCTGATAAACGTGCTATGTCACTCCTTCCTTGACCACCCCTTTCTTGGCTGGGAAGAGACTGTTAACATTTGAATGAATTGAATGCGTTCCATTTATTCTAAAGCAAGCCATTAGGGGATGTAATTTCTAGAATTTCTGTACTAGAATGTTCTGAGTTGGTTTCTATTTTTAGGCTGCATGCTTTCGTAGCAGCGAGACATAGATAGACAGAGTGAGACAGATAGATTGAGCAAGGGATAGATTTTTGCTATAATAGACACTCTAATTTTGCGTGTAAATTAATATTTGTAAATTGAGTTGTTGAGTGTACTTTTTTTCACTTGCTGTAAGTTGATACTTTTTTTTCTTTTGTACTCGAATTTGTATTTTTATAGAAATTTATTTGTATAATTATATTAAATATTGTTAGCATCACGAGCTTTGCTATTGTTTTCTTTATATTTGCCTTTTCTCAATTCTTTGTTTCGTATGGTTTATTATAAGGGCCAAAATATTAACAGATTTAATCTTCAAAACCATAATGGTTGGTATCAGTAGTACTGTAATGCCTTGAACTGTACTGTAATAGAGCTGATGTCTTAAAATTTTAGTTGCCATCCGATGATGGACAGTCTTTGTCATCTGATGATGAAGACCTTGAGGAACATTCTGTGATGTCACGTCTTTCAATAACAGATCTTGATGAAGGTGAGATTGTTTTTCTGTTTTTTTTTTTTTTTTTTATTACACACCACACAGATGAAATCTTTAGGTTACCTTTAATGTTTTTAAAACATTTAAAAAAAAAACAATATTTTGTTCAGTTCCTTCTAAGCTGGGCATGAGTGCACAAATTGTTTTCAAAATGAGAGGGAGCTTTGTTCCAGCTATGATTACCCCGCAGATTTACTGCTTTCTGAACATATAGGGTAATAACCTGATCTAGTCATTTTTTAAATAATTATTTTAATGGGACATTATTTATTATGCACAGAAGTTAGTCTTTGGCAAAACAATATATCTCATCTGACTGAATTTATTCTGTGGCAAAACAATATATCAGGGTATCTCATCTGATATGCAGCAAAATTAGAAACATTGACATCCTTTTTTTTTTTAAAACTTAAATATAATTGTGTGCACTTGGTTGTATTAAAAATGTGAATGCAAAAATGATGAGTTTATCTTTCTCCTAATATCTAGGTTATTTTCAAATGCCCTATGATATAATAAGACAAGAAATTGAGAGGACTTTTAAAGAAACGTGTAATCAGATTAGTGAGAGTATGAAGAGATCTTTGATCAGAAGTGAGTTGGCTCAAGTTAAACTTAACCTTAAAATTATGTCAAATATCTACATTAATTAAAAGACTCATCATTAATTCAATTAAAAATTAAGTGTAATTTTATAAAGTAATATCTCAGTTATATTTAATTTCATTCTTGGGTCAAAAAATAATTTATCTCTTTTTTTAAATTTAATATTGTTCATATTTAATAATTATAGACTCTATTTTAGGGAAAAGAACATACTCATGCTCTTCAAGCCAAACATTTACAATTGTTTTCTGCTTCCCACAAGATATAACCAAAGGTCATCCTTCAATTACTCTGTCCAAGATGGCAGCCTCTAGCACACCTGACTCTAGTGACAGGAGGAGCTCAACACAGTCTTCAGACTCTTCAGAAGTGGATAAACTAAAGAAGCAGATACACAGTTACAAAGCCATTATCCAGCAGCAGGAAGAACTCATACAGGTAACAGGCATTAAGAGATTTTAAATCTTGTCACTGACAGTGTAATAATCAAATTGTGCTTATTGCTCTTGAGCGCACTCCCTGCCCATTAGACTGACCTGTTTATAACTAAGTAGTAAGTTATTCTTTGTGGGTTATTGTTAATTTATTCTTGTAGTTATTTTTTATCCTAACTGAATAGTGCACGTCCAACAAAACATTGTTTTATTTTTTTCTGTCCCTTGTTATATATTAATCCTTTTAAAAAGTCAACATCAATAAGCCAAGTTGCTTCACCTTCATTTGTTTTTGATGTTTTAATCATCCTATCTATATATGCATGCTCCTTCCCATCAATGTTCTTGTGTATAAATTTCAATATTTTTACAAATCAAGCGAAAACAACTGGGAATCTTACTCATTTTAATTTAAAACCAAAATTTTTGTTCAATGATTTTCAGCAGTCACTACATTCTCAGACACAGTCTGTTGAAAATTCCTTCCTTCACGAATCTCAGCTATTGAAAGAGAAAGAAAGTCTTTCAGAACAGAAGAAGTTGTTTTTTGAAGAGAAGGCAAACTTTGAAAAAGAAAGAAAAGCATTCACCGAGGCAGCCATCAGGCTGGGCAAGGAGGTGAGAAGTTCCATAAAGCATTGTGGAAAAACCAACCTTAATAATATTTTGAACAGTTGAATTGCAAAGATATTTGCCTGGCAACAACGTTAGCAGACATTCTTGATTATAATTATTCTCAGATTTGCATTGATTTGTTTTGTTTTACTTATTTAATTTGACACACACTTTTATACTATCTCTTAGAGACAAACTTTACAAGAAGAAAGAGCCAAAATTCTGAAGCAGCACTTCCTTAACATCAGCCCATTTAAGGAAAACAAGAAGTCAAGAGGAGGTATTTTTCTATTTAATTTTATTATTACCATAAAATATTTTGAAAAATAAGAGTATAAAAAAAGTAAATTAAGAGTATTTCTAAATTTAAAAATAAAGGATAATCTGAAACCTAAAAAGTGCACTGTCTGGTATGAAGGAAGGGCTATGTAAAAGTGCACTGTAAGGTATGAAGGAAAGGCTATGTAAAAGTGCACTGCCTGGTTTGGAAGGAAAGGCTATGTAAAAGTGCACTGTCAGGTATGAAGGAAAAGCTATGTAAAAATGCACTGCCTGGTTTGGAAGGAAAGGCTATGTAAAAGTGCACTGTCAGGTGTGAAAGGAAATGCTATGTAAAAGTGCACTGCCAGGTTTGGAAGGAAAGGCTATGTAAAAGTGCACTGTCAGGTGTGAAAGGAAATGTTATGTAAAAAGTGCACTGTGAGGTGTGGAAGGAAAGGCTATGTAAAAATTGAAAAACTAAATACCTGAGGAACTGGGTATTTAAGTGGGCATCCAATACATCATATGGCAATTCTCAGATACAAATCTATCAAGAGTTTTAAAAATAAAAAAAAAATAATAAAAATCATTTCTTTCAAACCCACATACATGTTTGTACCACATGATGCCCCTAGCTGGCAATAAGTAGAGAGTAAATTCAAGCAGCTGATTTTAATGTTTTGTTACAATTCTTATGCATTACAAATTGGAGGTCTTTAAATTCAGGAAAACTCCCTTATGCCAAAAAAAAACCAAACATGTCCACATCCATATAGGTAGTTTTAAAGGGGTCAGTCAATATGGAACATGGAGGAGATTCTTATGTTAATTTTATTTTAAGCTGGATATTATTTTGAAAAAAAACAAACCCTCAATTATAATTGCATAAGGAAAACATTTGATGACAGATAATCTAAGTAAGTATATAAAGAAATGCAATAATGATTGTGCTCATTTCTTTCATTCTTGTAAATTCATGTTAGAAATATTTTCATTTAAATTTAATATAGTATTAGATGCACTTGCATTTTTGCAATGCCTGATAGGAATATTTTTATTTAAATTAAAGATAGAAAAAGATGGGTTTTTAAAATTCTTTTAAATGCTTGGTGAATAGTTTTTATGACATTATAATATGTTGCGATTTTTTAACATCTGCTTAATTAATTTATTTTTAGATGTACATTCCACAAGATTACTTCCAGCCACACCAGTTTTCTCACCTGCTAAATCAAGTTGGATGACCACTGAAGTTTCAGACTTTCCCACTACAGCTGAGTTGTACAATCTGCTTGGTTTATCCCCATCTGTGTAAGCTCTTCTCTTCTCTGTTGTGTCCGCTATAAATGACATGTTTAAAAATAAAAAGGAATTTAAATGTTTAATACCGGGTACTTAATTATCCTCCAATTTTATGTTTTTACTTTTAATTATTTAATATACATTAAGATTTACTAAAAAAATTGGATTTTTAAATGTCTTAAAATGTCATCTATTTTGCATAATTTTTGGAAAATTTAAAAATAAAATGTATTTATCTTTCAGTGTCAAGCCTGACTCCATACCTAGACCAAAGATCAGTCATCAAGACAGCAACAGCAGCACTGGCAGCATCACCTTCAAGTCACATGATCAAAGCTCTGCTTCATCTTCTAGTAAAGCACCAACATCTAACAGTTCATCCACTCAAGGCTAACTAAATTCTGATTCTGTTATGTGAAAGCCCATGTTATGCTTTAAAAAATTTTTTACAGTTAAAATATAACAAGTTTATAAATAATGAACATGCAAAAATGATATATTAACATTCCGTAATTCAATTCTTGATTATCCTAAATAAAAACATGTTACTTTAAATCTAACACATTTTCTTTTTTTTAGTCTAGTTTTGCTTGGTTAGATAAAATGTTTGCTGTTCTCTTGCAAGTAAACTTAAATCAAATGCGATTTTTAAAAAAACAACAAAAAAAACAAGCTTTTGGATTAAATCTGTTTATCCCTTTGAATCAAATTTAACAAAGACTGTACTGAAAAAGGAAACGACTGTGCATATTTTAACAACCAAACTAGTCTAGTCATAAACTTTCTCTTATGTCAAATACAACTTGTGTTCTCATGCCTTCTTCTGCATTCCTTTTTCTTAAATGCCAAAACTTGCTTTTATTTTGGCTTATTACAAGTGCCTAAAGAAGCAAATCTAATTCCATTATGCTCAAAATTATTTCCTTATCTCATTACAATTATACTTACAAAAGTAGCAGCCAGTAAATAAAAAAAACATTTACATATCAAATCTTGTATAAAACTGCATATGTTTAAACAAATGAATACATTGCTTATTAATTTTCTATGCCATAGCTGAGACAAGTTTCTTTCATTTATCTCCGTCCATCAATAAGTTTTAATTTTTGTATTCTTTTAAGTTTATGTTTAAGGTGCTTTCAATATGCAAATAGTAAAATTTGTTCTACATATAAGATAATTTTGATGTGGATAATAAAATATTTTATGATCTTGATTATTTCTTAATTTTTTTAAGGAAGGAAGAGTAAAACTGTATCTTAGATAAGAGCTCAAGAGTGATGCTATTTTATCAACCAGAGCTCAATGAATGGAAAATTCACACTTGCATTGATATCCACTCTTTGGTATTAATTCAATTTATGCAATGAAAATCATTTAATTTATAGTTTCTTACATTAGAGATTGATGATGTTATCCTGGTAAACTTTTACTTTAGTGGGTTGACAAACTTTTGTCAGTTATTGGTTATTAGCCAAATCAAAAGGATTAGTTTTGAAAAATAGTTGTAAGTAAAAATAGTTATAATTTATTGCCTTATTGGTTATTATTTTAATTCCTTGATAACTTTTGTTTATTTAACATTCCAAAATATTTTTTATAATTCCAAGTATTTTTTTCTCTGCAATATTCAATTTATCAAATATATTTTATACTTATATTATATATGGCATCCTTCCATCTTCATGGGACGAATGTGTAGCAATTAACACTTCAACAAATGACTTTTGAGCCCTATCCTGGAATGGCAGTCTTGGCTGCACTTCGCGTAGGAGAACCTTGACTCTTCGTAAAATTTGGCCTTCTGAAATTGCTTTTTGTTTGACTCCTTCATACACAGCTATTCGTCAGCTGGAACAGTGCTCAGCGATGATCTTAGTAACATAGTTTTCAGCTTTTGTGAATATAATTATAATATATTTATACATTTTTTTTCTGCTTACTTCAAATGGTACTCAGTAATCTGTTAAGATTTCATAGATTTATTGATTGTCATACATATCTTCATATGTCCTTTAGTGAGTATGAAATTTTGAAAACAATGTTGCACTGACACAAAATAATTCACAAATTATTGGGAAAATATGTAAATAATTTAAATTAAGAATAATCTATTGCAAATTTTATTTATTTATTATGTTACTTTATTTCTTCATAAATTCATATCAATTATATTGTTAAAGATTAAGTTAATATTGAATCATAATTTGTATACATTTTTGCTATTGAAAAAAAATTATTTCCTTATTTATGTAAGCAGGTGTTGTGAATATACCATTGTGGATAAGTTTCTGATTTTGCATAAATATTTTACATACTAAAAACATTCCAAATCAAAGTTCCTCATTACATTTAATAAACATTTTATTGTTATTTAAATGTCTTTGTTTTGGTTTATAAAATAATTTATGTTGATACTTTGGGAAATCATTTCATTTATATATATTCAGCCAAATGTATTTATTTCATTGATGGCACCGTGCAAAAATGCATTTGGGTCTTTTATTGTTTTGCTTAAATTCAGGTAACTGGAAGAGATTTTTTTATTTAAAGCACCTTGAGGTAAGGATGGATTTTTTTTCATCTCTAAATAAACCTGGTTTCAATGTATAAATATTTTTAGTAATAATTCGGACTATGCTGTTTTATTTGTTGTTAAGTATGCAGATATTTGTTTCTCAACATTGGCTCTTAACCACCAGTCTACTAGAACTAGATGAATCTTCCTACAGCCAATACCACATGTGAGGATAGAGAGTTGCTATCTCTCACTTAAAACCACTCTATAAAAATGGCAAAATTGTTAAAATGTGTGTGCCAAACATTAAAGAGCTACTTCAAACTTCATAAAGTATCAGTGTCTGAAGATAGAGAATTATACATTCTAGAAAACTGAGACTTTTAAAATAAAAATAAAAAGCAACACCAAGTAGGAAATGTTTTTTTGGTGAATTTATTTCTCTTTACATAATCTTTTCATAAATGTAAAAAAAAAAAAAAGTTGAAGCGTAAAATACGTTTCTATAATATAAAGTAATTTTCTTTCCAGTTCCAGAAGTAGCGTTATGAAATATACTAAATGATTTACTAAATAACATTGCTCAAGTAAATATTTACTAACATCCATTAACGTAAAATTTTCTCATTTTTTATTTCATATATGAAATATTACAAGAAGTTGTTAAAAATAATGCAAAATAAAGTTAAATTCATTTTTTGTTGTTTCTGACAAATACAAATAGCCAGTAACAACTTACGATGGGTGGCATTCATAAAATTAATCCATCTTTTTTGACAGGTATAATTTTATTATATTCAAATTTTTAAAAATAAAATCCCAAAACACTATGCTTTAACTATGAATATAAACGACATGATTATCAATAACTCATGCTATTTAAATGCTGTTAAATATTTAAAACCTAAAAAATCTAGATGAAGCATGCCAATAAGGTCTTTCCTACCAGTTAATGTACATACATCCATACCAATGAGAACCAAAATAATAATTGTATAGACTACATTTGGAAACAAAAATAATTGAGCTTTACATTTTAGGTCCTAGCAGTATCCTAGAAGTTAAATACAGAGAAATCAGATAAGAAATAAAAATATAAAAACATTATCACAAAATGAATTGAGTGAAACACAAGAGTAAATGGGCTTGTAAAGAAATTAGAATTTGAAGAAAAAAAACTTGATATTTTCAAATATCTTTTTTTTTTTATATTAAAAAAAACAAAAAACAAAAAAACACCTTTTTTTAATGCTCTACATTTATATACAAATTAAATGAGAGCCATAATCTGCAAATAAATATCTTACAAGTAATGAGAACTATAATATAGTTTAATTGTTTCTGTGTAAATATTCAATGTTTAAAATGTGAGAAAACTTTCACTCAGACATTATGTGGAACACCCAACTTTCAAACATGACAAGATGACCAACATGAGCTCTACAGATGCATCACTTTTACTCCCTTCCTTAAAATGATTTAAGGTGTTTAATAAAGAGTTGTGTCTTTCAGTAATAGTAACCCTATTGCCCTTATTTTCAACTCTCATAAATTAAATAAATTACTAAATGAAGAAAGACATAATGTTGACCTTCTAAATGGAAACAATGCTCAACAATTCTAAATATCAATTAAATATAATGGTAGTTATTAATTCCAAAAGTGAAAAATCCATGAAAATTATTCAGGCTCTGCAGTTAAAACAAAAAACAGACTTTGTAGTCTCGTATAATCAGAAAATAGTTTCTCATCAAAATCAATAACTGACATTTATTAATCAATATACATTTATAAAATAAAAAAAAAGAACAAAAAAGAACAAAGGAAAATGTTCACTCTTGCAATTTTTTTAACCTACCATATATACTTGTCTATAAGTTGATCTCGCCTATTAGTACAGGGCAGTTTTTTTATACCAACAATTATGAAATATGCTATGACTTATTGTTCAGTCAAGGGTAAAACTAGGGGCTATAAAATTCTGTGATTTTTATAATTTTGTCAGATTTTACCGAGCAGCAACCGCTGCACTGTATACCAAAATATGGCCGGTTTCATTAGACATACATTCTCATGCAGTCGGTGGTATCAAGTGATATCCCCACAATTGATATAGGTGTCCTCTCTCCTCTCGACCATAGAAGCTGACGGAGTCAACAGTTGTGTGTACACTATCATAGAAATCAGTAAACATTTTCAGGTAGCATTAAAAAAAAAACTCCTGCTAAAAATATTTTTTTTTTTTTTTCAAGCACATTTCAGAGCCTTTTCAATAAGGAAATTGTGGGGTTCAATTTATTTTACACTAGAGCCCAATTTAGTTATTATTATTAAAAGAGGCCAACTGATAAAATTTGTCAATGCTCATTTATTTATTTTTTAAATTATAAATTATTTTTGTTCCAAAGCGTACGTTTTTAAAATGTGGAAGAGAAAATCAAACTAATATAATATCATATACATCAAAACTCTGTTAACAAAATGCCCATTAACACAGCCCAATAATTAGTACTTGTTTGTAAAATTTACATACAAACATAACAGTTTGAAACTTCCCTATCCCACAGTTAAGGGGCTTTCACATCAGGCTATATGACTAAGAAATCCAAAGTAGAACCATGCTTCACTCAACAAAGGAACCTGAGAACAGCTATTTATATAGACCATTTTTTCCCTTCAAAAAATCATTTCTCTTTCATACAATGCAGACGGCAAATCTGGATGAGCAACATTTTATTAACCAATGTTGTCATTTAACCCTCATCAAATTCAGCAATACAAAGAGGAAACCACACATCACCATGTTAAAGATAACTAATCTCCAAGATAACTACTGGGGGAAAAAAAACAACAACAACCCAACAAAGTATTACAAAATACAAAAAGGTGACATCAAAACACAATGATACTGAACTAGCACAAAACCTCACAGCTGTTAGTGAGAGAACTAAAATCAGGTTAGAGGAATTACATACAAATTTTTGGGTACAGAAATCAATTCAAAAAAATTGTTGAAGGACATATGTAATACTTTGCTGTTCACTCATCAGTGACAACCAATGCCACACAAGGGTCTTTTAAACAATGAAACCCATACCATTTCCACAACACTCATAAATTGTCATTTTTGCTTTATTAGCTCAATAGCTATTTTTTTTTTTTTTTTTTTAAAATAAGAAAAATATGAAACATAATTCTTAAAAACTTTACTTTCTCAAAACATAAAGGTTTGACTTGGCAGAAACAAAACTCCTTCAGCATATCAACTGTGAAATATGAAAATAATCATGTTTTCAAAGAAAATAAACATAACTTTAAAAAAAAAAAAAAAGACCTCAAGTAACCCTATCGAGCCAGGGCGCATATGAGGTTTGCACACATCTCGAAGAACTCAAGAGTCTGGTGACATTGGCCTTGACTTTCTTCATCCGTGTCCATGCGGTCATCAATGGAAAGCTGAGAGCCTGAGTTAGATGGACTGGTGGTGATCGCTGGCGGGCTCATCTCCTGGGGATCACTGCAGTTGTTGAGGCTCTTGAAATCTAACAGGAAGCTCTTCTGGTCAACTTGGTACAGCTGAAGACTCAGCCGCGTCTAAGTGTGTCAAGTCAACATACATATCAAGGGAGTGTCAATAATTAGGCCTTAGCAATACACATACAGATCTTAGCATGACATAAATAAAAAAACAAACATGTCAAGCTATTTAGGGGAAGTAATGGAAAATAACACAAGTACAACAGACTTCAGTCATTAAAATAGGAGCTGACCTAAAAAGTACTTACATATTTTTGTGTCACTGGATTCTTTCTCCTAACTCTGACATGCCACTGGTTAATGACTTTCCATTCCTAAAAAGAGATGCAAAAGAAATTGACTAACATCATATATAAGCAACTGAATGAATTAAGCTTCATATATTTTAGGGCTGGGTGGGATGCAGTGTTTTGTCTAGGTACTGGTATTTTGAGACCCTTCCCAGCGAATCCCAGTCTGGATCTTACAATTCAGGCTTAACTATAAAAAATGAGAAATGTGTTCCACCCAATGGAGGAAGTCAAAACTGCATGTATAGAACCAGTAATGGTCACTAATGCATCAAAGTTGAAGGCTTCAGTACATTAATAGCATATCACCCAGCTCATAAACATAACAAAAATAACACATAAACCTGAGCTGACGTGTATGTGTGAGTGCTGCTGAATAGTAGAAAATAACCGTTTCCCTTTCTTTAGGCGCATCCGGGTATTTTCCAGGTGTGTTTTACGCTGTGCCTGAGTCAGAATTTTAATTTTACAATAGTTTATTTCAAGAACTAAATAAATCATAATTCAACGTTTTTTTATAAATTTAAGTAACGGTAACAACAAGTTTCTTAAGAAAACTGATGCTACACTTACATATTCAAGTGTTTTCATAGCTCTGTAAACCTCATGCATTATGTCCTGTGGTTTGCTTTGTGATCGAATACCTAAACAAATATTCAATAAAATCAAATGTACCATTCAAAATTTTGCTTTAACATAAGGAAAACATAAACATAAAAAGTCATTGAAAACGTTAAAATATTTTTAAAAAATTGTTTGCCAAGAAGTACCCAAAATGCCATAGGAAAAAAAATACACAATAGGCAAATTAGCAAGGAGAAGAATGATTGAATATATCAACAGCATTCGATGGGTGAGACGTTTACTTTTGATGGCAGGTAAAAGGATATAGGAAAGTAGGTAAAATGAAATTTAAAAAAAAATATTAGACTTGAAAAATAGATTTTAAAAATACATAATTGATATAGTCTAGTTCTTGTGTAATTCATACCCAAGTGCCATTTGGCCTTTTTAGCATGGCCACTGTTCTTGGTGTCTATGACAGGATCCAAAGTGTGAGAGGTGTTCTTCATTTCTGAAACAATGGCAAATCTTCCAATCCAAACACAGGCAATTTAAAGTATTATACAACTACATCAGAGAGTAAATTCTATGATACACTGTCTAGCGTAGAGCTTAGTGTTCCAATAAAAAAAAATATATATTATATATAAGGCAACTTTAATAAATCATATTTTATCCAAATATTATAGAGCTAGCATAAATTTTAAAGTAAATTTTTTATTAGTCTAAACTGTTTATGCTAATTCAAGCCATAATTATCTTTTTTTTTAATAATTCAAAACACAAATGATGAGATTTATAAAAAGTAGTCAAACTTCAATCACATCAAAAGTTAACGCCACAACAGTTTGGCTCTCCAGATAAAAAAGGTATGTAGTCAACTTCAAGACAGGAGGAGAAATTTACACGCATTAACTAAACAAAATCAACAAAGCTAGAGATGATTTTCATGTATAAACTAAAGTGTATTTTTTATGTTGATTTATTACTTAGTAGATTTAATTCTGAAGTCAGGCTTCCTATAACATTCAAAGGGGCAAATGATGAATGTGCTTTTCCCTTCTTTTTCTTTTCATAATTTGTTTAAAACAGAAATAGTTAGAAATATCAGAATGAAAGATAGATTGTTTTATTTTAAAAATAATCAGTGGTCAAATTTAGATTTCATTTTTGAGCCACTGAACATTTTTTTCTGAGATGTTTTTCATAATTAATTAAGATGAAACTTTAATTTCTGTGGATATTCTCAATTCATGTATCAATTAATTAAGATGAAACTTTAATTTCTGTGGATATTCTCAATTCATGCATCTTGCAGAGGACAAACAAAATGGACAGAATTAAAAATTAATTAGTTTAAGATCGAAACTTTCAGTCATTGATCAAGCAATGAAAAGTTAAGTCCCTCACATTAAAAAATTTGGAACTATCTAATTGGGTAAAAAAAAACAAAAAAGAAACAAGTAAATGTGACAAACTTGCTACACCTGAGAATATGATTTTCCCATGGTCTGAGAAATATTTTGGAACAAGCTGTTATATAAGGTGTGGGGAGGAAGACAAACGCAATGAATATGATCATAATATTACCTGGCATACGCTCAGGATGTGGCCTCAATGGACTAGAAGCCTGTGAAATTGTAAAAAAAAACCTAATTGTTTATGTGCATATTTGTAGATTACATTAAATCTATATTAACTCTTTCCGAGCCAAGCCCCGATATATTGTCGATTTGACTGGTCACGTTTGTGCCAACCAACGATATTTGGTCGGAATAATTTAGTATATTTCGTTTCCTGCTGCTATCAATCCGACTTTTTATGCTCTTAAACGAAGGATAACTCTTCCTACTTCCTTTCTGTTAGAAGTAGTGTTTGTTTACATGTGTTTTTCTAATATTGGGATATTTTTTTCTTGTTTTTGTGTTGAAACTTTTGTAAACAAAGCAATGGCCACGCTTCTCCAAGTACATCAGGTGTTAACAGACCACGTAGGCTGTCAAGTTTGCAGGCACGAGCGCTTTTATTGCAAATTATTGATGCTAAAACATCAAACAATAAAATGAATCATTTGAATTTGATTCAAGTGATGATTTTCAGCTTTCTGATGGGCTGATGGGTCGGTAAATTCCCAATGGAAATAGTGGAGATGATACTATAGTAATAGTAATGTATTACTAATAGTGGTTACAGTCGGCACTTTGGTAAATATTTCAAACATTTTTAAAAATATAAAAATACCACAGCTGTATAATATACAGCCTAGAGAATGAGAATGGATTACAAAAACCCAAGCTCATGTGGTTCAAAAGTTATGAGTTTTTTTATCAAAACCACTTTCTTACTTTGTCAACAGTGAGGATTCAGATAAAAACTACTCCTAATGTTCCCAAAATGTGTACAACTGTCACTAAATGGAATATTTTCAAAATGTAAAATGCATCCTGATAAAAAATGGATAAACTTTCTGAGGATTGAAGCAGAATAGGATACCACCTACACAGACCATATGGTTGTCTGGTAAGTTCAGATTTGGTGCGCATTTTTTTTTAAAATTTGATCTCATAATATTACCAGTACATTTTAAACTATTGTTTTCATATTGTTTTAGCTGTTAAATATCATTATTCTCTGTCTAATTTCCTTTAATTTGATATCAAATACAGCCATCTTGCTAAAAAAAAATGTATTCAAAATTAATCAATAGATAAGAGGACCCTACAAAATTTCAATTGACCGAAAGCTGGTCTGGCACAAACGTGGAAAACCCCCTGGCATGGAAAGAGTTAAACCAGTTCAATAACCCAAAGCCCAAAGATGCTTTTTCTTTAAAAACCAATAATTTCCCCACATCACAAAGAAGAGGCAGCTGAAATAATATTATATGTTTATAAGGCCATCATCGTTCTGCTACTCACCAAGTTGAAGGCTTCAGGTGGAGGACTAGAGGCCAAGTAGAAATCTTGGTATTCACTGGACACTTTAGAATGATAAAAGAAATGGTAAAAAAACTTTTACAAGTTAACATTTATCTATTAGCACTTACTGTCAAATTATTGTCAGTTGTCTCAAATTTTTTTTATTATTATGCCAGTTGGCAACTCAAAAGTATCAATTATATTTTAATATGTCATTATTTTGAATGTCACTGCAGGAGTATTGTTTTTTCCAACCCGGTAAATTACTCATAAATCTGAAATACGCACTGTACTTTTATCTGAAATACGCACTGTACTTTTAAAACATATGATATCGAAAACTTGGTATTACCTTTATCATGCATCAATAGATTATCCAAGATAAGGTGATATGCAATATACAGTTGGTCATGAGGATTGTCATTAAGAAGAGCCTTATGGACTTCATTTTCATCAACATTAAATTTCTGTAAAAATATTAACATAAATATGATTGAATTTATGTAGCAATGGGAGTAAAAAAATATTGCATTCAAATATTAACAAATGTAAAATATTTGTTTTTTTCCAACTATTGTTCAAATAGGGGAATTAATAACTTAGCTGGCATACTTAAGTTTCAAAAAGTATTTCCAAAAAAAACAAAAAAAACAAAGCCTTAAGCATAACAATATTGCACTAAGAGTTTCTAAATCAGTTTTGTGGAATCAATTACCCACCCCCACACACAAAATAATTTCAACTTAATGAAGCCAGCCCTGGCATAAACAATGTCTCTGGATAGGATAATGACCTCGCAAATCTCCCTCACTATGTCTGTATTAACAATAGAAGCATCTTGATCCGCTGATGATGGAAACAAATAATCTGGTAAGTCTTTTTTAACCCATTCTGTTTCCCTATGACAAAAAAGAAATATAATAAACAGTTACAGTATAATTAACAATGATAGTTTTATACTATTTTTGATTAGCGTTTCACACACTTTTTTTCATCCTTTCTTTATATTTAATGGCGTAAGCAAGAATCAAGGTGCAGTTCTTAACTGACTTCTCTTAATGGGTGCAGCGTCTGAGTTAAATCTTAAAAATTAAAATCTGTTATTCTTATAAGGTTCATGTTTATTTTTTACAAAGAGCACAGCTAAAAATTAAGGGTAGTTGTTTTGTGCCACAAAAAAAAAAAAAAATCAAACTTTCTAGTATATAGTTATATATTATAATATATACATTTTTAAGAAAACAATAATAAAATAAGCTAACCTTAATGGGTGCAGCGTCTGAGTTAAATCTTAAAAATTAAAATCTGTTATTCTTATAAGGTTCATGTTTATTTTTTACAAAGAGCAAAGCTAAAAATTAAGGGTAGTTGTTTTGTGCCACAAAAAAAAAAAAAAATCAAACTTTCTAGTATATAGTTATATATTATAATATATACATTTTTAAGAAAACAATAATAAAATAAGCTAACCTTATTTCTTTGATAGTTGCACGTTTGACAGGATCTACTTGTAACATGTGACACAGCAAGCTCACAACCTCCTTATTGAGATACTCGGGAATGGCAAAAATACCAGCTGCAGAATAACATGTTTTAAAATGTAACAAGTGAATCTTTCATTAGTTTCCCTTTGATATTAAGAGTGGATGTTGTGTCTACTGTTTAAGTCACATTTCTTTTGTTTTCTTTTTTTTTCAACTCTTGAGCTACTTGACATTTAATATTTACTATATCAAATATATTGTTTTGACTATGAAATTGTTCAACTAAAAATACTAGAAAATGGCTTACACTTAATTTTTCTGAAAAGAGTTGGCACATGCTCATCGTCAAAGGGGAGCTGAAAGAAAGCGAATAAACACTTTCATAGATTCTAATAATAACAACAAACTCACCAATGGGTAACAACACTGTACCATAAAAAAAAATTCAATAAATAATATGACCAAAGAGCTATATATTTTGTTAATATGTAACTCAAATACCCACAATAAAAGTAGTGTAATACATAATATGTTAACAAATGTGTTAATAATTTGGGAAATTTTGCATTTACAATTAAAAAAAACAACAAAACATCTAGTATTTTTAAATAATAAGAAAATGGTGTGTAATACATAACGAAACTTGCTGTTATTTTTCTTTTTATTAAATATAGGATTTTTGTGTTTAAATTTACATTGCGTAGCCATAAAATGCAGCAATCTATACTTACTTTGTTGATTGTTGTTGTTTTTTTTTACCCATCAGGATATTTTCAGAAGGCAAATGTAAAGAAAGCTGCTCAGGCGATGAGAAGATTTTTTTTTTTTTTTAAAATTAATATTTTTTAAGATACAAATCTTTTTTAAAAGCTTTATGTTAACTTCGCATTTTTTCGTGGCTCGCTGGCAAAATCTTTGGACAGCTCAATGATCCACTTCCAATCTACCGATTGAGCCGAAACTTGGCACATAGACTTGTTGCCGATGACAACACATTCTATCAAATTTTCAGCACTAATTGGGATTCTTATGAAGTGTGTTATTAGTATGCATGTTTAGTCAAATATTCAGCCCCCCATACCATTCGCTCAATATTACATTTTATAAAGGATTTATACGAGAAACTTTGTTTTTAGGGATTGTTTAATTTAGTGTCAGGAAAGACGAGACTGCATATTTTTTAATCATAGGCCCAGGCTTCTCCTATCTTCCTTTGTTGACAAAATAATTTTTTTTTATGTTCCCTCCTCATCAAGGATAATTGCATTGCTGGATAGTTGCATTGCTGGATAGTTGCATTGCTGGATAGTTGCATTGCTAGGCTGAGTGAATCCCACCCAGCTTTTTGCCCATAGCTGGGAATAACTTGGATGAATTGAAACCCATAAGCTCTGGTTGTGAGGCAGGTGTGCAACCACTGTGTCGTAGGTGTGCTGTGCTATCATAGTGCAGTAGGTGTGCTATAATAGTGTCACAGGTGTGCTACCATAGTGTCGCAGGTGTGCTAACATAATGTTGCAGGTGTGCTACCATAGTGTCACAGGTGTGCTACCACAGATTCAGAGGTGTGCTTCCACATCGCAGGTGTGCTATCATACTGTCACAGGCCCACCTTTTTACAAAAATTAATTTTCCTTTCACTTTCAATGCACCAAACTATTTTTATAAACAATATGGACATTATATTTAAAGATGTTGCTTTTATATGATTTCTACCCAAATACATTGTGTTCACTATACATTCTTTGAATGAAAAGAAGAATTAATTCCTGGGTGGAGTGAACAGAGAGCTTACACAATGTAAAAAGGAACAATTTTATAAATTCTATTTGAAGAATACAAAAATATGTTTTGTTCATGTCACATTTGTCATTATAAACTATGGTAAAAAATTAAAGCATTCTTTGTATGCAATCTGATGCAAAGTCTTTTTACAATGTTTACCCAACCAAACCCATTTCATTGCATGCATAACAAGGATGCCCCCAAAGAATATTATTGTGACCTGTCTTTATTCCTCATACATTTTTATTTGTTTTGTTTTTCTCCTTAAAATTCAACCCTTTGCTGGAACTGTCCATTTATTTACAAATAATGTGTGTCAGTTTAGGAAAATTAAGAATGAAAAAAAGGATATTAATGAAGAAGAGACAGCTTGTTTTCTCAGTATGCACTTTTAGACTAACACAATTGAACAGACAGGGGCAAAACTTGTTTTATTCTGATAGATTAACTAAAAAAATGCATACTGGTATATTATGTACTTACTGTGCCACAGAGAAGTGCATAGAGTATGACACCACAACTCCAAATGTCAACTTCAGGACCAGCATAGAGTCTAAAGAATATCACAGATAAATTTTATGATAAGGGGTTAGAGATTTATAAATGATATTTTATTTTATTTTTAAATAATTTTTTTTAAAATCTAGATTAGTTTGAATCAATATTTAAGAGCAATTGTGTTACCTAGTTGAAATATATTTCTTTTTCCTTCTCAATAAATTATTTAGAAAATAAAGATAAACAAATTATAGGCCATTAATTGCCTAAAATTTCTACTCTATAGTTTTATAAGCAGTTATATACTAACTTTCCCGAGATTACTTCCGGTGCAGCATAGTTTGGAGATCCACAGCTTGTACGCAAAAATTCTCCATCAGTCATCATGTTTGAGAGACCTTTAAGAATAGTGAAGCTTATTGAACTAATTTTTATAAAAATCTTATGTATATTGATTAATAAAAGTATGAGGCTTTAATTAATTAAAAATTTCATTTAAAAATGCATTGAGTTTTACAGAAAGACATTAAAAATAATAATTCAGAAAATTAAAAATAAAATGAAGCTTATGTCAAATATACTTTAGTCTTACCAAAGTCAGCTATTTTTACATTATTATTTGAATCTAACAGCAGATTTTCAGGTTTTAGATCCCTATGCACCACCATGTGCCTGTGACAGTAATCTACTCCAGAGATTATTTGCTGAAAGAAGCGGCGAGCTTCAGGTTCTTTTAGCTGAAAAATATTCAAGTTTTTATCTGGTTGAAAATGTAGTTAGAAAAATTATACCATATAAAAAAAAATTAAAATAAAAAACATTTCAACTCCACTCTACATACATATGGATGAGGTTGCAAAATGACTGTTTCCCACTGAATAACAGTAAGCAATTTAATGAGTAGATAGGTCGTACCCATGATTTTTATTTACATTTTTGGTAAAAAGTGTGACCCTAAATATGGTCATTACAGAAAGTCTCTGAGATGGGATTTCAACTTTTTTTTGCATTGTTGAATTGTAGATTCTGTATTTTTATCTTGGTTTTCTTAAATATGTGTCAATCAACTTTTTTTTTTTAAATGAACCAACAAATTTTTGATTAAACACAAACTTTTTATAAACTCCTAAATAAGTGAAATAAACACAGGAAAAACTCTATGTTAAGGCATGTAAGTGGTATATGGTTTGGTTTTTGTTCAACTCATACCCCAGTGCACAGACATGGCTAGATTCTTACTGACAATAAAATTTTTTAAAAATTTACATATTTTCTTAATTTCTGCACACAATATTACCATAGCTAAATTCTCTTTCGGGTCCTCCTACCTTCACTTTTAAGACAGTGTTTAATTTGCCACCAGAGACGTTGGTTTTTCAGCCTCCATATTTGGGAGTAGGAAATAAATCATTGCCAGATCCATTTATTCGGTATTAATGAGTATGTATTAATGAGTAAAAAAAATAATAGAAAAAAAATATATAAAGCTGGTAAATTGACATTTATGAAATGAGAATTTAGAATCAAACTTTTTTTTTCTAAGTGAGAATTTAGAATCAAACTTTTTTTTTCTAAGTGCCTGCAGCTAATTTAATATGAAATTTCAAAGTGAGAATGTGGTATTGAATGTTGGTAATTAGGTAGCTTAAAAAAAAGATGAGACAGGGAAATGCTCTAAATAATAACACTAACCCTTCCATGCTTTACTATGTAGTCAAATAATTCACCACCAGCAACATGCTCCATAACCATGAAGATGTCAGTGGGTGTTGAAATCACTTGATACCTGAAATAATAGATTTAAAAACAATGTAAAGACGCTCTCTTTACGTTCTTTATTTACATGGATAAAGTCCACTCATTTTTTTAAGTTATAAAATTTATTATTAAAGCCAAGGACTGCTTACACTTTGAAAATGAAAAAAAGGAAAACATTTAAAAAGATTTCAAAATTAATCATGTAGAGTAAATATTTTATTGTAAGTGCAAATTTAATTGGAGTCAATGATTCAGATACAATGTTAAAATTAGTTAAGCACTTAATCTAGGCACTATTATGCTGCACCAAGACCATAGTGTTGGTTGTAATGGTGATACAAACTAGATTTTTTCATATCATTTATAGTGACTGCAGTTTATGAAAATTTATGTATAAGTTTTCTATAAATATAAAGATTTCGGTGTCATGTTCATAATCAAGGATTGTATTTCGAGCATAATAATATTTAAAATCACAGTTCTGTCAAAATTAGGTATTGCAGAATACTCCTTTGTTCATTACAGATGGTGCAATGTTCACAGCAGTTAATCAAAATCTTTAAATTTTTCAAAAACCTTTCAGATTACATTTTTAATATTTCTAATCAGTTGCATAATCTCAAAATTCAGACAAATCCATGCCTAAGATCATTAGAACAATTCTTATTAGTTAAGCGATAATTTTAGCATGAAGGGAAAATTTAATTATATGAGATTATTAACACAAATAGGAAACCAACAGGTAAAATTTTGAGAACAAATGCTTACAATTTAATGATATGTGGGTGCCGGAATAATTTAAGATTCTGGATTTCTCTACGAATTTTACCAACAACGTCAAGATTTTTAATCTTTTGTCTGTTAAGGATTTTAACAGCAACTTTGTGACCGGTTAACTGATGTGTTGCAACTGAAAAAAAAAAAGAGAGAAAGACATAAATGAGTAATTCATCCAATACTGACAATGTTCCAGTAGTATTTTTTGTTGATTTACCCTTTACATCTGGCAACTACTAAAATTTAAAATAACATGTTTTGTTGGACCCTATTACTGCAAATATGCATTGGTCTTCAAGCTTTGTTTACAAATACAGTATTTTACATCATGAAATGATAGTTTCTGGGGACCTTCATTAATAATTAGTTAAAAATTAGCCCTTGCGTAAATTATTTTTAAAAATCATGTAGTTTGGTATTAACTTTTAAATTTTAGTGGAATTTAGTTAGCATTAGCTGGAGAAAATGGTCTGAAGAAAATTTTGGTTGGAATTAAAATGCAATTACCTGTCACAAAGACATTATTTTGTAAGTTAATGCATTTAATATTTTGTCATCAGACTCAAAATACAGTCATAATTTGTCTCGGCCTGCATGAGTGTAAATTAAGTGACATTTTTGGTATCTGGTACAATCACTTTATAATTTTGTAACATGAAATCAATACAAATGAAATAGCATAGCTTAATTTATTAAAACTTAATTTACTATTATATTTCTTTTTAAAAAGAATCAACTGATAATTATAGGGATTTTAATTTTTGAAAGACTATCTTTCTTGACGCCTATATACCAACATTTTGTTAATAATTTAATGAATTGTAGGGTAAAGAATCGTTTTAGTGAATTTAATTTTACCCTCAAACAGCCACTGCAGAATACATTATTAACCAATAATTTTCAAGATGTAATATTGGTGCTGTGAATAAAATTCACACCCTGGGGTTTCAAAATATGCCGGATCGATTCCCGGCTTTGGAGTCCAGAAAACTTGTCCGGTTGATCCAGATTGCTCTGCAGCCTATCTGTTATCAAGAATTTTTTCAATTCATTTTCGGAGAGGTTGGGTTTATTAAAAAATATAAAAAATATTATTGTAGGGTTTGTACGACAAAATTTGGTATTAAATGAAAGATAATTGAATGGACTGTATGTTTATAAACTAAATTATTCAGTTTAGCTAAAATAAACTACCACAAATGACATCCGAATAGCATTTAGTCTATTGGGACCCGGGTCAGAATAGCGGCGATGCATGTCCGGATCCATTTTGATAAAAATCTGTTCGGATGTCATTTGTGGTAGTTATTTTAGTTAACTCATTCCCGACGGTTGCGACTAAATGTGTCCTTTGAGGTTTTCGACGGATGCATCCAAATGTATCCCGCCACATAGCGACACACCTCTCTTATTTTTAATTTAAAATAGCAATGAGATCACGCTTCCCTCGAGACTTCCGGCTATGGGGTGATTCTGCGTGATTTTAATTTAAAAACCGGAAGCTTTTATCTTGTTTCACTTAAAACTACGTGTGCTACGCGTCTATATCTAGCATGTGTTCGTCCGAGGTGCCAAAAATCTATTTTTTGGCCATTGTTCATTATTTTTTCGCCACTAATGTTATATTTTTATTAAACCTTATTCATTTTTTTTATGCATTCGTTCTTAATTCATTAACATTTATTAATATCTAGCAGCTTAAAAAAATATTTAAAAATGTTAATCAATTTCAAAACTGAGTTGCTTCCCTTTTCTTAGAAAAATAAATTAAGTAAGGAAGTAGCACTGCCGGGTAATGAGTTAAATTGAAGAATTAAATTAACACACATATAATCCATTCAATTATCTTTCATCGATACCAAATTTATCTTACGAACCCAACAATAATATTTTAAACATTTTTTAGTCCCAACCTCTCACTTCTGATAGCAGAGTCCGAATAGATTTTCCGAATAGCCACTTCGTACAATTAAATTAAAACACTATTTAGATTTCAGCATTGAAAAACATTAATTAAGCTCTATAAAACAATACTGTCAATTTTAGTATTTGGAGCTTAATGTGTTCAGTTTAAAGAGTTAAGTTTCTTTGTTTAAAATTCAAAATGTAGCTCCAGCAATCTGAATACAGTCATTTACTGTTCAAATAACAATGCAACAAATAATAAATAAGAATGCTCACTTTAATCTGTGGATGATATTTATAGTGTTTATATTTTTACAAAGGTTTTACACTCTGTTGCCCTAGCTCCAGCACCCTGAAGTCTTGTAGGTTAATTTATAATTTATAGTTTATAGTGAATATTGAGCCAGTGTTCTTGATTTTTTTTCTGTTTTTAGGACCAGGACAAATCTCCGTGCAATTCGCTTAATTAGCTGTAAAATGCACAGAAGTATGCTTAAAATACCCCATATTTGCATAGAATTCCCCTTACTTTTTACTTTCCCGAATGTGCCAACACCCAGTGTATCCCCCAGAATGTAGTGACCGATTTTCACTTGGGCCTGAGCCGAAGACAACCCACTTTTGTCCGCCATGTTGATTGACCCCTAAAAGTAAGCAAAATAAAAACATCAACAGAGCAATTAAGATTTTGCCAGATTTTTTAACGAGGAAATTTGTAAAAATAATAATAATTAAATAATAATTTTATTAACCATAATTTAGCATAGTTACAAAAATAACATAAAAATATAAAGTAGGAAAAAAATATATTATGGTAAGTGATTTACTGAATTACTATGAAATGATATTTCTGATAATAATAATTGCCCGGGATGGAGTCGTCGAACAATAAATTTAGAGGACGTCAAAATAAATAATGGTGTTTATGATATTGTAATAACCCTGAGTAAATAAATAAATAATGTAACAAGGTTGAGAAAGTTACAGTGTTAATTTGGGAACAATAAAGTTTTTAATATAAATATTTAATTTTTTCCCCTTGTTTTCAAGCCTAAACTTATATTGTTCCACTTTTATTTAAACTGCATGGGCCATGGGTTGAACGCAGTCCCTCATTTATATGACTGGGTACTTTTTTCTAAAAGTGACATATTTCCGAATCAAAAGCCAATTACAAACTAATATCCTTATTGTAGTAATGCGATGTTGTTTTTAATAAGTGGTGAGAATTCGGTAATTGTGAAGGATGTTATGAAATGTATTTGATAGATGTGTTCCCGAGATAGTGTAGGGTGGGGGAAATCATTTTAGGACTTGGGGAAATGCCTGGATCCGAGTGGTCCAATAAAAGTATGCCTATTTGGGATGTGAAAAGGGTATATGAGGTGGCGCGTGTTGTTTGTGTTCTGTCGGGGATTCACCACAACACAACTTACATTTTATTAGTCTGAAGATGGACGCCACGCACCATGGTGCGGCCCTGTGCGGGGACGGACGCGCTGCTGCTGAACGCCCATTCAGAGATAGTTCAAAAGGGTTATCAGCATAGATTCGATTTTCCCCAGACTATCCTCAAAGGTTCTTATGTTGACAACTTGATGTCCCCCAAGGTCATCCCTACGGTTGCTGTCGCACCGGACAAACTTAAATTTTGCGCCCCTTTTAATTAAAATCATAACAATTGGTGCAAGTAAAAATTGGGGGGTTAGGTAATGAGTTTATTACCTATGTTTAAAAAAAACAAAACAATGAACAGTTTTAAAAAATCTTAACTTGTATTTTGGACGTTTATTAACCATTGGCCTATCGTGGGCAGTATGAAAAATCAGCCCATCGATTACATTTTTTTGTCCTAGCCTTTAGATCGGCAAATATTTTTTCTTGTTTTGGAAAATCGTTAATGGCGCCATGAGCACATGGCGCCCAGGGAAACAGCCCGAGTTGCGGAACCTTGCCGGCCCTAGACGTTCCATGAGAGTAAAAACCACCGAAGGCGGCGCATCTGCCATTTGGTATAATATTATTAGCATTTCCACAAAGTCATAGTATTAACAAGTATATTAACGTAAAAAAAAAATCATGTTTAATGATCTGTCAGAGTGGGCAGAGTGGGCAGATTGAGAGAGGATAGAGTGAGAAAGTTTGGAGTTGGAAGCGAGATTTTGGGCAGGGGGAAAAACTTGTTCAACACAAACTTTCATTTTTTTCCTCACACCAACAAAGCTTTCACCTTAAAGCCTTTATTTGAGTCATTTTTACATACCTGTCATTGGCACATAACGCATGCGAAGTATACCGTTCTATTGCGCAATAATTTTTATTTCCATTTTTTTAAATACGGTATTTATTTGTAATTCATCAATTTGAAGTAAATCAGAGATAATTCATCATGATAGAAATAGGACCCAAATGGGAAACGAAAAAGAACCATGTAGAGTTCAGACACATAACAAAAGGGGTTTTATCTGATCTGACCCAATGGTTTGGTGTGGTCGTCCGCTGAGGGTGGCTTCTTAATGTCCTCTACATTAGTTATTTAGAGCTTATTTTTAACGAGTTTACTGCATGTTTTGCGCTAATCGTGAATGAGGGACATAAAAACAGAGGTCCTTCTAGGGTGTCACAAAATCTAGCATTAAGTTAAGGCAGAATTATTCTGACCCCTGAAGTTTACCATCAGTATATATTATGTGGCCTGAAACACAATACTGGAATACGCGGACCAGATATTGACTACACTGGCATTCAAGTATATATCTATGAAATACCAATTATAATTATCCCCTGACTTCTGACTTACTTTTTAACTACACCTTGAACTATTTGCATTTTTTTTTAGACTATGTATGACCTTTTGATCATCATCAGTGACGCTACAGAATATGAATTGCCCTGTCCTGCAATTGATATATTTCTTGGATTTTACCTTTTACCGTTTATTATGTTCATCTGGATTTTTATCGTTAATTTCACAACGCAGAAAATAAACTCTTCCTTTCTTATGTGTTAGAGTCTATTCTTCTTACTTTTTAGTGGAACTACAGTTTTTGACACTTATTGTATACGTCTTATAAATATTATTTCTGTGAGTGTAAGGTTGGAAAAAGAGGTGACCCATAAATGGCGCCACGCTATTTTGGACGACCCCCCTCCCCCACCACTTTTATTCGTCACAAAATTGTAACACAAATTTGACGCGTGTATCACACGTCGACGCAAATTCATGACCCACCCCCACCCATGCGTGACGTCGTTTATGGATGCCCCCCCCCCAACCATTGTTCCCTCTCAGGTTTGCTGGTTCGTGTGAAAATCATACAGTTGTGTGCAAAGTTTTACAGCATCAATTTTTTGTGTGCAAAATTTTACAGCCCACAAACATAAACACACACTGCATGGAAATTGCTGCGCGGATACTCAAAACTGCTGCGCGGCGTCTGTTAAAGGGAACATTGCCCCCAACCCACCCCATAAACTACCCTATCACATTTACAATAACACAACAAAATTAAAAAAAGAACAACAACTTCTTTTTTTTTACATTATTTTGTTCTATTCCACTATAATAACACCAATCATGCAAAGCATACATGAACTTTCGGACAGTGGTATAGCTAGTGTTGGTGCCGCCCAGGGTGGGACAAGCTTATTTTCCGCCAACTTACACAAAAAAAACTCTGCAGTTGGCAGAAATGCCGCCCCTCCATGAAAAGAAAACACAACCGCCCAGGACGGACTATGACCCACTCTATCGTAGGTCACGTTCCGCCCCTCCTTTCTACGTCACTGCTACCGCCTTCGGGATGCATCTGATAAAATCATGTTAGGGGATCTGCATTAAGTAGCCTACGTTACGCCATATAAAAGGGGAAGGGGTGAGGGGGTCTAATAAAGTGAGACAGTTTGAAATATATTTTTATTATATTTTTTTTTATAATAGGCCTACATATAAAACCTGACATTGACCGTGATGTTGAACTGGCTGTTGTGATGGATATATTCTGACAGCAAATGCCACTTTTATAAGTTAAATAGTGAACTGTGTTTTGAATTAAATTTTAATTAAAAGTCTAGTTTTTAGCTTTTTAATTTTTAACAATTTTTAGTTTGAAAGTGTGACGTCCTTTTCTTTTGTTGGGCGGGGTGTCCTGGGATTTGTGACAGGGAAGAGGTGTTGGGTAAAAATTATTAAAAAAATACCGTGACATTGACTGAACTTTATGGACGGTTCCAAAACAGCAGCTGGCTAATTTAGTTAAAAGGTTGGCTAATAGATAGTAATAGTATAGCGCAGTAGAGGCGAAAAGAAGAACATTTCTTAATTTTCAGTAATAATTTTGGGTATCAAAATTATCGTTTAGAAATAACAAAAAAATTGATCCCAAAAATGTATATTTATTAAATGTTATGAAAAGTTCGCAAGTGGAAACACGCCTCCGCCTATAGTTCTCAAATGTAAATTTAAATTTAAGTCCGGCACGAAAAGCGAAACGGATCTGAAAAAATAAATTAATTAATAATTTAAAAAAAAAAAAAAAAGTAATTAATATCCTTGCTTTGAAATTTGAAAATATTATTTTACAATAAGTAACATTCAAAATTAATTATGTTTTTATTATCTAAAAATTTTAGTACATGTCTTGTACTTTGACTTAAATTTAAACTATTAATTAATATTTTATGCCTATTATTCTGCGCATGCGCTACGACATGCCTGTTCTCTGTTGTCAAGAGAAGCTGCCAGTAGCCGCGAATGAGGAAAGATTACATTTTGACAATGATAATGAGGATTGATTAAAGAAACAAGTAAATTTTGCTATTAAAATATTAATTATTTTTGAGAACTTTACCCACGTATTCTGACTAACCTTAGCAATAATATATTATTTGGTAATTCTAAAACTTTTCCTTTATAAATAAACATTTGGTTGCTATCCTGAGTCGGCTGAGTATCCTGAACTATCCTCACCAACTCACTATTTAGTACTGTTAAATTATGGTATTTAAATTATGTTCTTGATTCGTTACCACTTCCACTATCGGGTGACAATACAGAGGTAGAGGACCAGTCTCACTTAATAACAATACGAATTAAGGAGCAGTTAAAACTTAAAATTAATTTATTTAATTAGCCTACTACTACTACAATTATAAACAATTTATTTACTCTTATGACTACCATAAATTAATATTTACCAAACTCAAAGCAGTCCACAGTCACCAGAGACAAGTCCAATCTACTAATTAAAGTTTTAACTGCCTCTTAAGTACTAATTATGGTCATGGTAACTTTTGCAGATATAATAATACTTTATCATTATCTTTGTGATTGTGGTTCCATTTATTTTTTATAACTTATAATATGATTTGATACACTCACTCACATATCCCAGTTCTTTGCCCCTATCTATATATCAATCACATCTCACACAGTCTCACTGTCAGTCTGGGAATTTAAAATTATATTATTATTAATGCTAATGATTCTGACTGTCTCAGAAGCAGAAGCCACAAGTCCGAGAAAGTTTGATTGGCTATAAATTTTTAAACAATGGCCTTGGTTTTTTAAATTTTTTTTACAGTTATTAACAATGGCATTGTTAAGTATGGAGATATTTTAATATTCAATGCATCGGATATGTGTCACAATGTGTCAGTTCTTAAATT